GAATGTCTGCAGGGAGCTCCCAAGCTTCATTTCCCAGAAATCCATCAATAGGCATATATAGAGATCCATGCTTCACTTCTTGTGAATACTCCCGTGTAATTTAAGGATATGTATAGATATCTCTGTAGTGTATAGTAAAAATGGTCACTTTTTAGTGAAAAGAATTATAGTGGTTTTCTAAAGCTTTGCTTTGTCTGCATAGTACACCTGTCCTTGGCGTTCCTGTTTTATTACTGTAAATGCTCACTCTTGTTTATCCCCAGGTGCTAGTGGAATGTAGAGTATATATAAATATATGTGTATCTACATGTTTGCATATATGTATATTATCAGCCAAGTGAGTAATAAGGAAACAAACCCAAAAAAATTTATTATAGATATTTCAGGTCACCATCTTGCCAGTTTTGGGAAAGGCGGCACTTTGAGTAGAAACAGATTTAACATGTTTGTTTCTAACAAGATGTACGTTGCTAAGGATTACATTATAACAGGATTTATTATAAAACAGTTGCTTTGAATATCACTCTTCCAACTCAGGATTATTTGACTTCTTGATTCTTGTTTGTAAAATAAAAATAATTATTATTGTCAAAAAATAAATCAGTTTGTGATCACTGTGTCTGTATTTGGGTGTTTGAGTGAGGAATGGGCCCTGGCCACAGCATACATTTTTTTTTTTTTTGGTGAGGCAATTGGGGTTAAGTGACTTGCGTTATGTGTCTGAGATTGGATTTGAACTCAGGTCCTCCAGATTCCAGGACTGGTTCTCTATCCACTGTGCCACCTAGCTGCCCCCACAGCATACATTCTTGAAAGCCACTTTATTGGAGGACTAGGATGAAAGTAGTATAGCATGGTCAGGCAGGGATGGCTTGTAATCGCTGGTATTTGGAGAGATCACTCATGTGGATCTACTATGAGAATCTTTGTAAAGGATGCCCTTAAATACTGCTTTTTCAGATTTCCACTGCATCAGTGGCAGTGAAACTCTTCTCAGCCTCTGAACTCTAGTTGGTAATTGACTCAAGAGCAACTTTGTTGTAGGTCTTCCTATGTCTTGATAAAATGTTGAAAGGTGATTGTTAAGGTTTGAAGTGAGATACTTGTTTCAGGAATCAAAGTTTTCCACAAGTAAGAATTATTTTAAGCATTTTTCATGCAAATTTAGCATTTTAAGACTTTTTTTCTTTAGTTTTGGTGCCTGTAACCTAAATTGGAGGGTTATCTTCCATATGTAGTTGAGGGCCTTTATTTTTTTCCCCCAAGTTGAGGGAGCCTGGCTTTTTTTTTTTTTAAGCCTGTCTCTGGAATCTGTTGGTCCTAGCAGAATTTGAGTGGTCTTAAAGGAATGTGATGATGCTTTTTTTTTTTCCTGGGCAGTTATGATTGTGTTTTTTCTCTGTTCCACCCTGCTGTGCTTTTAATTGTAGATGATGGTAGGGGGAAGGGGAAACTCAGCTTTCGAAAGTGTAAAAGGTACAAGCACAAGGGGGTTCTGGTATTTTGATACTAAATAACTAAAGCATATGGTTGCTGTTGTGAAAGCTAATGAAACACTTTTAGTTGGAAATCTTGACAAACTTACACAGAGGTGTGGGGTCATCTACTGTTTGGAGTTGCCTTTTACCAAAACCTTCTGCAGCAGGATTACTAGTTCCCGCATTGTGGGTGGAATTATCCATTTATTTCATTGAATTAGAACTATTTTCATATACTAACCTAGAACTTTGAAATTATTTCCAAGAACTTGAATTAGCTGGTAATACTCAACATAGAGATTTTGTAATCCTTAAGTACCTTTTTTTTCTCTTGGGTAGAGGTCTTTTCGTGTTGTAAAGTTTGCTAATCTGTGGTTGCCATTTTAAAAAAATGTGTATTAGTTTACACATTACTTGAATTAGGCTTCCATTTCTGGAAAGTTAATTTCAGTACTAGTATTTACAGATCTACCACTAGCTTTGTGACTGTGGGTAAGTCACTATTAATTTTTCCGAGCCTCAATTTCCTAATCTGTAAAACAGAGATGAAAATATTGCTTATACCTTAGTATTGTTGTGAGGAAGGCACTTTTGTAAACCTTAAAACACTATAGAAGTGTGAATTGCTAGTTATTATGCTGACCACATATCTAGGCATAGCTGTAAACTGGATATTTATATTCATATTATTTAGGCAAATGCTTACTTATTTTTGAAAGTTTGGGGTTAAGTTTTGATAAGATGAGCAGATCATCAAATATGAAAAGACCATTTTGAAATCTCCCTCCCCCCATTTCGTTGTTCAACACCAGTTTGGCTTAGATTAGGAATGCTTTTGTAAATGCTTTCAAAAGTACATCTTTTGCATATGATTTAATTGGTTTCACTGGTAGGCATGAAGTAAGATGACTCGTAAGTTATAAATAGTGGGAAAGCATTACAGGGAGTTTAGCTTTTTAGTATTATAAAAGTAGTGACTGGCCAACCTGGACTGCCTTTAAGTAGAATGCTGTATAATTTGTTCAGTTATAGGCATGTCCTGTGGACTATGTAAAACATTTTTTCCCTCTTATGTGAAAAAAAAGATACAGTTTTAGAAACTGAAAGCTGAGGGTTGTTTGTCATTCTTGTAGCTTTGGCCCAATACAGATGGTTTTCAGTTGTATTCAGGCCCAGAGAAATGTACACAATTGCTTTCTGATGTTCTGTAACATCCTTTGTCATGCTTCCTTCCTTTTTGGTTGTTCTGTGACTAGTAAAACTATTTTATATTTATATATAATATAAATGGACACTTTTCTCTAAACCTTAGACTTTTAAATACTTTTCCTTGGTTAACTGAATTACAGAAATGCTTATTCTAGGCTCCACTAGCCTCCCAAGTACTATAGTTTCTGATCAAAGTCTGCATCTTGGGTGTTCAAGTAGGTCAAGGACACGTTATCATTTTGCAGATATATCAATTTCTTTCCCCTGAAGTATTTTGCTTACAACTCTTTTCCTGGGTGCTAGTTTCCCTTAAACAAAAATGTTCTAGGACTTCCTGGGAATGTGTGTATTTAAATGTGAGGGTGTTGTCATGGGCAGAGTAATAATCTCTGTGTGTCCTGGAGACTCAAGTTAGCCTTCATTAAGCATCTGTGTGCTGGGCTTTGGGGATACGTACACATATAAAATGAGACTACTGCCCTCAGTGAGCTTGTATTCTACTAAAGGGATTCATTGGATTCATAGATATTTATAAGCAGGATGTATGCAGAGTAAATGCACAGTGGTTTATGGGGGGCAGTAATTACTGGGATAATTTGTTGTTGAGTCGTTTCAGTAATGTCTGACTCTTTGTGACTCTATTTGGGGTCTTCTGGCAAAGATACTGGAGTGGTTTGCCAGTGTCTGAGGCCAGATTTGAACTCAGGTGTTTCTGGCCTGGTGTTCCATCCACTGTACCACTAAGCTGCCTACTGGGAGAATTAGGAGAGCCCTTTTGCAGGAGGTAGTACTTGAATTTATGGTGGCTCCAAGAGGTGGAGAGATGGAGGGAGAACATCCTTCCAGGGCACAGGTTCAGAACATGGAAGGTTTTGTGGTGGGGAAGAGCAAGGAGGCCAGTTTGGCTAAGAGTGTGTGAGGGGAGTGGTCCACAGTTGACCTGTAGAGATAGATTGGGACTAGAGCCTGAAGGGTTTCCAGTGCTAGCCAGGCAGTGGGCAGCTCCTGGAGGAAGAGGGACATAGGCAGAGCTACACTTCAGGAATGCCTGTCAGCTGTGTGAGGTGTGGATTAGCAAGGCGAATTTACTGATCAATCAGGAAATTAATACAGTAGTCAAGGTGAGAAGGAAGATGATATTTTCTGAATTCATAGTGTTATGAGGCAGTGTTGTTACACTCAAAAATAAGACCACTAAACCATACTTTAGGGTCCCTAAGGGCTGCATATGTACTTAGAAAACATGTCAACATTACCTCTATTTTACTGTATTTTTATTTATTTTGATAAATATTTTCCAATTATGTTTTATTCTGGTTCAGGCTGCACTGGCAGGTATTGCAGACCTGTTTCTGAGACCTCTGTTGTGTGGTACCGTAGAAATAATTTAATCCACTCTCCTATTACTAATCTCCTTATACAGCTATTTGCATCTTCTTTTATAGTGCTACTTAGTTACCTCAGCTCTTGAGATTTGATACATGTACCATTTATCCATTCAGTAAATACTTATTAAATACCTGCTGTGTATGTAGGACAAAGCTAGGTACTTGGGGAGATATGAAGTTTAGATAAAGTTCCTATCTTCATAGAGTTTAGTAAATAGTGAAGAGGGGATAAGATACTAGTACAAATAATAACATGTTCATTCAGGAATATTTGTTTTGGCATATTGTGTGTGTGTGTGTGTGTGTGTGTGTGTGTAGGATGAATTGTCAGATATCTAGTTAAGTGAAGAGTTTTATCATTCTACAGTAGGAAAAATATTTGCTGAGAATATATGTTTTAATCAAGCTTAGCCCCAAAGAAGAGACAGGAGAAGTCATCTCTTCCCATCTCTTTGCAGAGGTAGAAGCACTAAGTATGTAGAACATTATAATATCAGACTTTGCTGATGTGTCAGTTAGTTTTGTTGAACTTTTAGGGATGGCTTTGGGGAAGGGGAGAAGCTTATATTGGGAAATAGAGAAATATAGATGACATAAAAAACAAGAATTAGGGGCAGCTAGGTGGCACGATGGATAGAGCACCAGCCCTGGAGTCAGGAGGACCTGAGTTCAAATCTGGCCTCAGACACTTACTAGCTGTGTCACCCTGGGCAAGTCACTTAACCCCAATTGCCTAAAAAAAAAAAACAAACCTAACATTTTATTTAGAAAGAAAGTAGATGCTAAAAAATCAGATCAGAAAGATGTGTATTTCTACAGAGCAGAAAGGTGTGTACTTTCAGATTTTTCTAAAAGAAAATGTTTGCTTCTGCGCTAACTCAGGAATGTCCCTAACTCCTTTTGTGTCTCTCGGTTGTCTTTTTAGGTATGGCATCACAGCTGCAGGTGTTCTCCCCCCCGACAGTCTCGTCGAGTGCCTTCTGCAGTGCAAAGAAACTGAAAATAGAGCCTTCTGGCTGGGATGTTTCAGGACAGAGCAGCAACGAAAAGTATTATCCCCACAGCAAGAACCTCTCGGCCGCACAGGGGCAAGCCAGCTCCTCTCACCAGGTGACAAGTTTCAACCTCCCTCCTTACGACCAGAGCCTCCTCCTGCCAGCTCCCACGGTGGAGCACATAGTGGTCACCGCCGCTGACAGCACAGGTGGTGCTGCCACCACCTCCTTCCAGAGCAGCCAGACCCTTCCTCACAGAGGCAACGTTTCTTTGCTGGAGCCCTATCAAAAATGTGGATTGAAAAGAAAAAGTGAGGAGGTGGACAGCAACGGCAGCGTGCAGATCATAGAAGAACATCCCCCTCTCATGCTGCAGAACAGGACTGTGGTGGGCGCTGCTGCCACGACCACCACCGTGACCACCAAGAACAGCAATGCCAGCGGAGAAGGGGATTACCAGCTGGTCCAGCATGAGATCCTTTGCTCCATGACCAACAGCTACGAAGTCCTAGAGTTCTTGGGCCGGGGGACATTCGGGCAGGTGGCAAAGTGCTGGAAGCGGAGTACCAAGGAAATTGTCGCGATCAAGATCTTGAAAAACCACCCTTCCTATGCCCGACAGGGCCAGATCGAAGTGAGCATCCTCTCCCGCCTGAGCAGTGAGAATGCTGACGAGTACAACTTTGTCCGTTCTTATGAGTGCTTCCAGCACAAGAATCACACCTGCCTTGTGTTCGAGATGCTGGAGCAGAACTTATATGATTTCCTCAAGCAGAACAAGTTTAGTCCACTGCCGCTGAAGTACATCCGGCCAATCCTGCAGCAGGTGGCCACTGCTCTGATGAAGCTCAAGAGCCTTGGCTTGATCCATGCTGACCTAAAGCCAGAAAACATCATGCTGGTGGATCCCGTGCGCCAGCCATACCGTGTGAAGGTCATTGACTTTGGCTCTGCCAGTCACGTATCCAAAGCTGTGTGCTCCACCTATTTACAGTCACGGTACTACAGGCAAGTGTCTGTCCCCTCTGGAAGAGAGCCATTCTTAAAACATGCACTACAGGGAGTACTAGAATCATTTCCATCAGTACAGCATAGGCCCATGGTGGTAGGTTGTACCTCACAGAGACGGAGGTGTGCTCTTCTATAGAAGCTTATTTCTGACATAAACAGTTTTTTTTAGGCAATTGGGGTTAAGTGACTTACCCAGGGTCACATACCTAGTAAGTGTCAAGTGTTTGGTCTGAGGCCGGATTTGAACTTAGGTCTTCCTGACTTCAGGGCCAGTGCTCTAGCCACTGCGCCACCTACCTGCCCCATGTTTTCCTTCTGATCATGGCCAAAAGATTGTAACTGGCTTAGCCCTTAACCCGAGAGTCACGTAATCTGTTCAGTTATATTCTTAGATTGATAAGTTAATCAGTTATCCTAACTAATGTATAATACCATAGTTATTGAAAGACAACATTATCTTTGGCAAAGATATGGTTATTACCACTGGTATAGAGAAACAAAGAATTGAAGAAAAATGCAGCTATTTAAATAAATAATGCAAGCCCTTGACCCTGATAAAAAATTCTTAACTGCTTTTTGCTCACTTAAGAGCTTTTATTTCCTAGATAATAACACATACCAGAATTAGTTGCGTACTACTCTCTTGGATCCCTCTCTCTGACCCCTTCCCGACCTCCCCTCTCCCCAAGTCTCTCTCCTGTTATATTAACTCTAGAAGGAAGTAGGGAATTATGAGAGCTTCTGGGGTTTGGTCACCTGCTGCGCCAGGTAGCCTACCTTTAGCCTTTCAGATTCTGATCCTCATTTACTAAAAAATATTAGTGACTTACTTAGAATTATACAGCAGTTCTAGGCAAAATTAACTTGACTTTAGTTTTCTTTAGCTGTTCCCCCATCACAGATTGCATGTATTTTGACGGGCCGACTGCCTAGGCACTTACCTATGGAGGTAATGGGAAAATATTCCATAATAAAAGATTGAGTGCTTTTCAGCTTTTCTTTCCCTCTCTGATCTTTTTTCTTCTCTGTGCCCCCACTTTCTCCCATGTTGAGCAACAACTCTTTACCCCAGGTTGGGCACAGTGGATTCCACTTTTAGGAGTTGGCCTTTATTAGCTATTGCTGATAATTTCAAAGATGAAATTGTTGGAATCTCAGAGTATATTGTAGAATTACTTACAGAAAACATTTTAGTGGATTTTCATTTCACAATGGGTAGCCTCTGAAGGGAGGGTGGTTAACTAGATTTCAGTGGCTGTAGAGAGCTGAGAACTGTGATCTCTTCTGCCCGTTCATAGGAAGTTGTCACTTGAGTAATTGTGATCCTGAGTTTACCTTGAGGTGATGAAGCTGTATTTATTGATTTCCTTTTTCTAGAAAAGGACATAGGATTTTCAAATGCTTTGAATCCATCCCTTGATAATTCTTCAACAAAGCTCTTTAACCGCCTGCAACACTTTGCCCCTCAACTATGGCTATGAAATCTTAACTCAAGCTAAGCAAGGGTCTCACCCAGAAATAGAGGCACATTCTGTGTAGTCTCTGAGGTTTGTGATTCAGGACTTTTTGAATCTGACATTATCTGTGCTCCTTCTCTGTGGTAGCAGCAGGGCTGAGGTTTTCTAGCTTTATCACTGGCTTTTATCCACAGTGGGGGGCTTAAGCTTCTTTCATGCTGTTTTACCCTCTTTTTTAAAAAATGCATCAAACACTTGCCCCTTTTAGGAAAGAAGAAAATCTTTCTGGTCACTGAGACATCAAAACTTCAAAGATAATCTTTCATCTTCTTTATTTTAAAACATTTCATGATGATACTACATACTAGAATATTAGCACCTATTGTACCTTTTTTTTTTCCAGTCTTTTTGCAATAGATAGCATGGACCTACTCAGACAGTGGATAGGACTAAAGTCAATGAGCTTTGTGCTTGGCCCACATAAATGGTGACTTGCTTCAGACAGATTGTTGTCTTTGAGTCTTAAGTTCTTAGGGACAAAGGTTTTGCTCTAATGTGTGAACCCTTGTATAACTAGCATCACCAATTTCCATGTGGGTGGTTTTCTAGTCTTCAGCAGACCAGTGGCTCATATTTCCAGCTGAGATTCTATTATTTGATATGTAGTAGTAGGACAGAATCTAGTAAGAAAAAGCATTTTCCCCACCATTTTATCATTTAAAGAAAAAACAAAAAATCTTCAACTAGTTACAGTGAAGCTATACATTCTAACTTTATTCACGATTGTAAAAAGGCACTTTTGATGTAACATCTGATCTGGTGACTGGACTTAACGCCTTTGAGATGAGAAAGGGAAACAAGAGTTGTGAAAAGGATGATTTGTGCTAAATGGTCCTGTTGTCAAGGCTTTCTAAACTCTACTGTCTGGACCTCAGTGAAAGTAAGTTTTAGTGCCTAGAGGAGTTTTTCAACTTAAAGTAAGTTTGAAGTTGAGAAATCACAAGGGAGGAACTTCTGTTCCCACTGCTGGCTTCCATAATTAGACCCTTTTTAGCGTTCTGTCCAAAGTGAGTTGTATTGTTAAAGGTGCAAAAAAAAAAAAATAATTAAGACCTAGACCATGGGATTTTTTCATTGACAGCAGTTAAAATCATCTCTCCATCCAGGTGGGTCCACAAACATTTGTCATATTTTCTGCTTCAATTGAAGCAGTGAATACCTGGCAAGTGACACTTCCCAAGTGATGTTCATTTTGTAGGTTTTTGAGAGATTGAGAGGTTATGTGGGGTAGGTTTAGTGAAAGAAGATACAATAATGAAAAAAATTATCTAAGAAATATAAACTGAATACAAGGGTGGCTTATCTTATTCCTGTTCCTCCATGAATTCTTCTAGGATTGTTTTCTGTTCTACATAAAGGGAACTAGTTTGTATTTCTTATTTTTTTTATATACATATGTGAGTTGAACATTTCTAGGCTATCAGTATAAGGAGAAGGCTACAGTAAGCTGAGCAAGTCTCATTTTTTGAGCTACCTTGTGCTTTCTCTTGTTTATTGCCTTTGATTTTACCATGGGGTTGCTGTTCTGAGTGCACATCTATAGATTTCTCCAGCTGCTTTTGCTGCCTCAGAAACAGAAGGAAGCTAATGTGGGAAAATTATGTCTTCTCTAGCTAATATTTTTTCTTTTTTCTTTTTTTTTGGTATATTTTTTCATTTTTACCACAAGTTGGCAGAGGGAGTATTTTCCTTCAATGACCAAAACTTTGAGCCTGAGAAACATATAAAGTATGTTTATTACCTGTTCATAAATGAGTCATTGGATGGCCAGGCCACTTCCTGTAACTTTATCTTTTGGGGATGTAACATGTCTTTCTTGTAAGGCGGGGGTGGCAGAATTAGTCAGCCCCTCCTCTGTGGATGACTGACAGTGTTCTAAGCTGAAATCTTGGCTTTGACAGAGAACCATATTTGAGTTCTACCTGCCCGTTGGTTTTAGCACTGCCCTGAGCTTGAAAATGATTGCTTTTGCTAGATGAAAGTTGAAATTTCAGGTCCCTTACCTTTGCGGCGCTTTTATGTTGTTTCTGGACTTGTTAGCTCTCTAGTTGATGAAAGAGCTCCTATCACCTCTGTGTTGGAAAAACATATGCCATTGGCATGTCATTAAACTGAAATTCCATCAGTTCTGTGCAGTTACAACCACCTGCAGCAGGAATGGTGCCCGGAGCTGGGCCTCTGCCCACAATTCAAGTATTTGAGCTTTTGAAAGTTGCTTCTTTGATTAATAATTCCACAATCCAAGTCAAATAGTCCTGTAAGAGGTGGCAACAAGCCACAGCCACTAGCTGTTGAAAACCAGGAGCTGGCTGTAAGCTTCCAACTTGCTGGTCTGTATAGGACCAGTAACTTTCTAGTACAATTCATGAGGCCTTGTTTCTCAAGGACTCTGACTTTTAGGTTTGGGAAAAGGCAGTGGTGTGATGTCTTGTCAGGAGCATTGCTTTGGAAATTAAGGGGCCTGATTACTTGCTAGCTAGGTGTTCTTGGGGATTTATCCTTTCATCTTCAATTTCTTTATCTGTAAAATGTTAGTGATAATACTTGCACTACTTGTGCACATAATTGTGAGGATCAAATGAGATTATATATGATTTATAAACTCTGTTGTACTTGAGGAATGGTAACTGACATCTCGTTAGGAAACATTGTGTTGTAGGTGTAGTGGAAAAAACACCTGCCCTGCCCCTCACAAACAGTATCCATACCACTTTGCGTAAATTAACCTCTCAGTCTCAGTTTGCTCATTGTTTTTTTTTTTTTTTGTTTGTTTGTTTGTTTGTTTTTATATGAGGCAATTGGGGTTAAGTGACTTGCCCAGAGTCACATAGCTAGTGAGTGTTATGTGTCTGAGGCCAGACTTGAACTCAGGTCCTCCTGACTCCAGGGCCCACACTCTATCCACTGTCAGTTTGCTTATTTGTAAAATGGATGTTGTACTTGCACTCTGTACCTCATGAGATTATCACGAGGAAAGTTTTTTCCTAAATTTGCAAGTGCCATAAAATATTTGTTAATTATTTTTATTTGGACTACTACTCAGTAAAACCACTTAAAATCCATTTAGTCTTTACAGTTATGGGGGAAAAAAATCTCTTTTGTGACAAATAACAACAACTAAAGCAAAGCATCATGTGCCAGAAGATGGCATTTGTCAGTATTTGTTGCAGGCTTCCCTAGTAGCCCCCACCTCTCTGCTAGGAGGAGGAGGAGGGGGAGGATGTGTTTCAGTTGTCTCTTCTTTAAGGTTTTCATTGGTGAAAACCTCTTTAAAAATCATATACTATTCTGAGAGGTTAATAATGCCTCAAATGAGCTTTCTGAAGGCTAGGTATTGATGGAATATAATAGGAAAGTTTCCTTCCTGGAAAGATCTGTACTTGGAACAAATAGAGGAAATCCTTAGGACAAGACGTATTCTAATCCTTTTTTTAATTGCTTAGGTTGTCTGTTAAAACCAATTTAGATTTCTGGGATTGTAACTTCTTAACTGAATGTAGGCTCCTGTTTCCTCTGATATAGTATAGGAGCTTAATTGGGATAATTACGCTTGAAGAGTTTAAAACTAGAGGAACTTGAGACTTGGCCGATGGGCCAGTCTGGTCTGAGCTGTCTGAATTTGGTGCTGTTTATTCCTGGGCTTGGCTGTGGAAGCTTGGTCCTTTTTGTACTGCTTCCTTTTCCAGCAAACCAGAGGCATCCCTACCGTTAGCTCATTCTCAGCGCCTCGCTTTCTTTTCTGATATTTCTCAGGTGAAAAGGGGCTTTTCTTCCTGGGGTGTCTTGATGCTGTCTTGTTTTACTTGCATGACAGAGGACTGCTTTATTTCTTCTGCAGTGGAATCAGTGGAGAACATAATAGGACACATGTTGTGGGCTTTGGTTTTTCTGTCACATCCTTTGGAGTTTATTGTTAGCATAAAACATTACTCATATTTTTGGGAATTGAAAGCAGAGAGACCTTTTTCTAAGGTGAAGGTTGAAGGCTACCCAGTGGAAAGGGTTGATTGTATCTACATTTTTAAAAAAGGGCGTGAGTAATGGAAATTTCATATTATCATGGGCTTTTCTGAATGATCTGTAAAGGGGTAAAGAAAGTCTCTTGCAGAAAACTAGTATTCACGTTATCTTTGTGTGATACAGTAAATTAAGCAAGAGAGAAATCAGCCCACAAGTAACTTTCTGAATTTCCAAGCACTTGACACTGAAGCTGATACAGGACACATGAAAGTTTATAGTCAGGCCTTGGTTTCCCTAGATCTTTTCAAAGCATGGTTACCATGGGAGCAGAGATGCAATTATAGGTTAAAAGAGATATTTGGGAGGGGGGAATCTCTTTCCTTCATTTCTTCTTCTCTGCCTGAGTCATTTTATCTATACCTTTAATATTTTTTGTTTTGGTGGTATTAGAATTGGTCAAGAAATTCTGAAGCATTATGTACTTGGTTCTGTTATACAAACACGATGACTGAAATCAGCAAGCACATTTTATTTATTAAAAGTCTACTGAGTACAAGAAATTTTTTTTTAACTTTAAGTTTTAAAAAATTTTTTCCAAATTCTCTCCCTACCTTTCCCCCTTGTCCCCTCCCTGGGACATCAGGCAGTTAGATTTACTTTATACATGTACATTCATGCAAAACTTATTTCCATATTAGCCATGTATGCAAGGGACTTTCTAGATATTTTGAAAATTTTATCATTACTCCATGGAACTCCAGGCTTATTTACTTCCAGAACTTATTTCTTGATTATGCTCTTCTTCCAAGCACTTTGCTTCAGCAGTTTCTTAGAAATATTTTTCATATTGCAGGAGTTGTAGCTATATACGGAAGAGCACAAAGGTCTTCCAGAGGGTAACCTGGTGTAGTGGAGGGGGCCCAAGTTCATCCCTAGACACTTAATAGCTGTGTGACCCTGGGCAAGTCACTAGTCTCTTTGTGCCTCTGTTCCTTCATCTGAAAAATGTGGGGTTTGGATTCAGTGGCTTCCAGCTCTAAACCTATGGTCCTATGATAAATACTTTTGCTCTAGAATTAGCTTCATTTTAGTAACGCAGCAAAGAGAACCAATTTATTCACTTCATATTTTCATGAGAGGAAAAAGGTACAGAACCCTTTGGTTAATGTATCAGAGATAATTTTCAGTTTCATTAACAAAATGTGCTTCACTTTCTATACAAAAGCAGGACTCATTTGGCATTTTAGTTTAATGTGTTAATTGCTCATAATCCATCTTTTGGTCTGATGTTTTTGTTTTGTAGAGCTCCTGAAATCATTCTTGGACTGCCATTTTGTGAAGCTATTGATATGTGGTCCTTGGGCTGTGTGATAGCTGAGCTGTTCCTGGGGTGGCCTCTCTATCCTGGTGCTTCAGAATATGATCAGGTAAGAAGTGGATTTGGGACTCTTACTAGCTGTGTGACTCTGGGCAAGTCACTTAACCCCAGTTGCCTTTAAAAAAAAAGAATTGGATTTGGGCAGGAACAGGTCAGACAAGTGATTTCTAGTGGAGTGGTTAGATATTAGGGGAAAAGCAGTTGTGGTGAAAGTCCAATCCCAGTGAAAATTTGTGGATTTTAGAAAAAGAGTAGTGACATATTTTAATGCTTTCCCTCCAACTTCTGCTCCTTAAGACTGCAATATAATTCATGGCCTTTGATAGCAATTTTTAATGTTCGGCATTTCCAGAAAACGATGGAGGCAGCAATCCTGTGATATTCTACTTCTTTTCTCCCCCTTTGGAATGATTAGTCATGGATATATAGTTCCAGAGGCTTAGCTTCAGGGTACTATTTTGTCTTGTGAATTAAGACACAAAAGAAAGATATAGATGAAAAATGAGAATTTTCATTATGGAGTTCCATGAGCTTCACAGTGAAGTTTGAATGAACCTGAACTTTGTGAAAAGTTCAGAATAAAATACTCTTCAAACTGAAATGTTTTTACAGTGCCCCTGTGGAAGAGAATTTTTGAAGGAAATAATCTATGATGGAAACCATACTTGAGTGTTTTCTCATCTGTAAAAGTCCCTTTCCCTTTGCTGTGCTAACGTGTTATGAGTATGAGTCTGATGGTTAAGAGAGGAACCTGCAACAGTAGAAGAACTCTCCTGCAATATCCTCTGTTAGGCTGTTTTGAAAGTGGCCCTTGAGTTTGAGAAATTGGGGAGGGGTTGTAGCATTGGGTTATGGAAATTACTCTTAAATGATTGTGTCCTGACTGTCCCTCTTGTGAAATGGTTCTGTGGTACAGAGTGATTAAAAGAAAAAAGATGAGCTTATGTTTATTTCCTATTCATATGAGTTCAGTGATATTGTTGTGCATTGGAGGAAAGGTGACATCTACCTATTTCTAGAAGCTGACTTTTGGACCAGGGCTGTAAGTGAAGCCTAGGTTTCTTGTATTGTCAATGTTCCTATTTTGTACTGTGATTTGTGTAATTCCATTCAGTCCTTCTTGTGAAAGTTTGCACTGACGAGATTGGCCACAACTGTTTAACCAGCCTGTTAGCTAGATCCACCTCCTTCATATGTCAAGTACCAGTACCCTCTCTCCCAGTGAAAGATTGCTATCACACCTTTTCCTGGGAGGCAGAGCCTTGTGAAGAAGAAACTGAAAGTTTAGATGGGTGGTTTTGATGTTTATAGGGGGAAAAAAGATCTGATAGTTCTGAGAACCTTCTCATGGTTTGAGTATGGCGCTGGAGAGGGCAAGACGGCCTGGAGGTGGTGGATTTAGGAAGGTGGTTTTTCCAGGACTCAGTCATGAGAATGTTACAGTTGTGGGGAAGTATTAGAGGCCATGTGTTGGACCCAAGTACAATCGCATAGAAACATTGTTGCTGTCATTAACACCAAGTGTTTCTTTGTGATATCATCTTCTGCAGCTGTCTGAGAGCATCTCGTTAGTTGCGAAGAACAGACTGGTGTGGTTTCCTATTCTTTTATCACAAAGGACTATTTAAATTTTGAAGCAAACAGGACTGAATAATTATCATAGCTGACATGTATATAGTGCTTTCGATGTTTGATCTCATTTGATGACATTCATCTCCAGGCATTTTCATTGCCTGACCAACATGCCTCTGAAGCTTTATCCTGGCATCTCTGGCTTCCTTTAAGTCTCAGCTAAAGTTCAGCCTTTTGCAAGGAGGCTTTCCCAGTCTACCGTAACCCGAGCGAGCACCTGCCTTCAGAGATTGCCTCCAGTTTATCCCGCATATAGCTTGTTTGCACAAAGCTGTTTGCATGTTGTCTCTCTCATCAGACTGGGAGGGTCTTGGGAACTGTGGCTTTATTTTGCCTTTCTTTGTACTCTCAGTGCTTAGCACACAGTGCCTGGCACATAGAAGGTACCTAACAAATGCTTGTTGACTTGTCTTGGTCCGCAACAACTCCGTGGGACTAGATATCAGTGTTAACCCCATCTTATAGATGAAGAACTGAGTCCCAGAAAGGTTAAAGGACTTGCCCAGGGCTGTATTGCTAGTAAGTATCTGAGCCCAAGTATTAAGTCATAAGTATTTGAACCCAAGTGTTCCTAACTCCAAGTCAAGCCCTCTGTTCACACTAAGCCATGGAGCTTTTCCCATGTCTTGTAGGGTATTTTATTTGAATAGTTTTCAAAATTATGTAGCATCATTCCAGTTTTGAAGAACGTGCCGCTGATGTCTAAAATTGGCCTTTGGTTTTACTGCCTTTGTGTTCATAATTTTTATTTATTTTTTTTCAGATATTTTTATAATTTAATAGTATAGTTGGAGGCAGAAGAGTTCTTTTTTTTTGAAGAGAATAGCATATTACTGTTTTGGAGCTTAAACAAAATTTATACTTCACATGGAAACCAATCAAGTATTTATTTCTCATCTTTGAGCTCAGGATTGTTTTTGGGGCATGGGGGTAGGGGTGGAGAGGAGAGGCAAAGAAGGAAAAACCTGGTCTCTGTCCTGAAGGTGCTTGTGCTGTAACTGAATTTAGAGGGTGATGATAGCATCTGTGGAGTTGCATGTATTGGTGTAGTGGCAAAAGCATTGGATTTTGCAGTTTTCAGACATGAGTTTGAATCCTAGCTCTGCTACTTGTTAGTTGTGGGAAGTAATGTGGGGCAAGTCCCTTCACCTCTCTCAAACTCATTTTCCTGTCTGTAAAATGGTGATGGAAGAGGAGCTGGAGGTTAGACTGAATGATTTCGAAGCTCCCTCTCGTTTTTTAGATTGATCCTTTTGCTGTAGAAGCAATTAGCAAACATTGTATAAACAAGAATTCAGTTGAGTGATACAGATGAGAGCAATTCAGAGAAAGGGGAGAAACTTTAGTGAGAGCTCGGAGTTATTAGAGGAGACTTCATGAAGAAAATAGGTCTTGAGGAAAGCCAAGGTTTCCCTGCCTTCAGATACAAGTATCAAAGCTAACCTGGAGGGTCATGAAAAGCTCTTCTATGGGATTCTTCATAGTTCACTACTGAGGGTTTTTTCTTCAAGTTTTTTAAACTTCTATCAAAAGAAAGTTCATAGATGGCAAAGAGAAGCCAGTAAGTTTCCTGAGCTCTCCCCAGTTTCCCTCAGAAACATTAAGTCAAGCCTCTAAAGGGATTCTGGAGTGACAGAACCCACAATAGAGTGAAACAATAGAGATAGAGTGAAACAATTTTTCTAGCTTAAGATAACTTAGAAGGACTTCAGGAAAGGTCTGCCTCACTTGGGTAAAAGGGGACCTCAGCCCAGCGCAGTGTACAGGCAAGCCAGTGGGAGTCTCTTAGCCAACAGCATACATCAATAACTGAGGCGCCTCGATCCTAGCTTAGCAGACCAGCTGTGAAGTCTCCAGCCCCAGTGCAGAAGGCAAATTGCCAGCCCCAGAACCTTGGCAGAAAAAGCAGGACTAGGCCAGGTCACCCCAATGCAATGGGCAAGCCACAAGCACCTGGGGCTCTGGCATGGAAAGCCAGTGACCAGGCCCCTGGCCCCCAGAACAAGAAGCTTGGGAGAGTTCCCCCTGTGCCCCAGAAGCAGAGTTCAACTTTTAAAAATGAGCAACAAACCCAAAAAAGAGTCCTGACCATAGAAAGCTACTGTGAAGATAGGGAAGATAAAAACACAAACTCAGAAGAGGACAACAATGGCAAAATGCCTAGATGTGAAGACTGAAAGGGGAATATGAATTGGTCTCAAGCCCCCAAAGTCCTCTTGGAAGAACTCAAAAAGGATTTTAAAAATCACGTAAGAGAGGTAGAAGAAAAATGGGGAAAAGAAATGAGAGTTATGCAGGAGAATTATGAAAAAAAGAGTCAATAACTTGGAAAAGGAAGCACAAAAATTGACTAAAGAAAACAACTCCTTTAAAAGTAGAATTGGCCAAATGGAAAATGAGGTACGAAAGCTAACTGAAGAAAATAATTCCTTAAAAATTAGAATTGGGCAAGTGGGAGCTAATGACTCTATTGAGACATCAAGAATCAGTCAAACAAAATCAAAAGAATGAAAAAATAGAAGAAAATGTAAAATACCTCATTGGAAAAATAACTGACCTGGAAAATAGAGCCAGGAGAGGTAATTTAAGAATTATTGGACTGCTTGAAAGACATGATCAAAAAAAGAGCCTGGACAGCATCTTTCAAGAAATTATCAAGGGAAACTGCCCTGATATCCTAGAACCAGAAAGTAAAATAGTCATTGAAAGAATCCACTGACCACCTCCTTAAAGAGATCCCAAAATGAAAACTCCAAGGAATATTGTAGCCAAATTCCAGAATTATCAGATCAAGGAGAAAATACTGCAAGCAGCCAGAAAGAAACAATTGAAATATCAAGGAGTTACAGTCAGAATTACATAGCACTTAGCAGTTTCTATATTAAAGGATCAGGGGGCTTGGAATAGGATATTCTAGAAGGCAGAGGAGCTTAGATTATAACCAAGAATCAGCTACCCAGCAAAATTGAGCATAATCTTTCAGGGGAAAAGATGGACAGTCAGTGAAATAGGGACTTTCAAACTTTGCTGATGAAAAGACTAGAGCTGAACAGAAAATTTGATCTTCAAATACAAAACTCAAGAGACACATGAAAAGGTAAACAGGAAAGAAAGAAAAAAAAAACCCCATGTTATTCAATAAGATTAAACTGTTTACATCCCTACACGGGAAGATGATACTTGTAACTCTTGAGAACTGTATCTCTATTAGAGCAGTTAGAAGGAGTATATATAGAAAGAGGGTGTGGGTATAAGTTGGCTTTGATGTGATGATATAAAAAAAAATTAAGGTGTAAAAAGAAAAGGATTGTATTGGGAGAAGAGAAAAGGGGGAGGCAGAATAGAGTAAATTACATCACATGAAGAGGTGCAAAAGACCTTTTACAGTAAGGAAAGAAAGGGGGTGGTGAGCATTGTTTGAACCTTATTCTCATCTGTTTTAGCACAAAGAGGGAATAACATACACACTCAGTTTGGTATAGAAATTTATCTTACCCCATAGAGAAGTAGGAGGGGAAAGGGGAAAGAAAAGGGAAAGGGGGTGCTGATAGAAGGGAGGGCAGATTGAGGGAGGCGGTGGTCAGAAGCGAAACACTGGTGAGGAGAGACAGGATGAAAGGAGAGAGAAAAATATAAAGAGGGGAAAATAGGATAGAGGGAAATACATAGTTAGTAATCATAACTGAGATCGTGAATGGGATGAACTCTGCCATAAAACAAAAGTGGATAGCAAGTGGATTAAAAACCAGAATCCTGTAATATGTTGTTTACAAGAAACACATCTGAAGCAAAGAGATACACAAAGAGTAAAGGTAAAAGGCTGGAGCAGAATATATTATGCTTCAGCTGAAGTGAAAAAAGCAGAGGTAGCAATCCTGATCCTCAGACAAAGCAAAAGCAAAAATAGATCTAATTAAAAGAGATAAGAAAGGAAACTACATCTTGCTAAAAGGTGGTGTAATGAAGTAATATCAATACTAAACACATGCACCAAGTGGTATAGCATACAAATTTTTAGAGGAGAAGTGGGGTACAGTAAGAAATAGCAAAACTGTACTAGTGGGGGACCTCAGTCTCTCCCTCTCAGAACTAGATAAATCTAACCACAAAATAAACAAGAAATAACTTAAGGAGGTGAGTAGAATTTGGAAAAGTTAGATATGATAGACCTCTGGAGAAAATTGAGTGGGGAAAGAAAGGAATATACTTTTTTCTCCTTGGTACGTGGCACCTACACACAAATTGACCATGTGTTAGGGCATAAAACCCTCACAATCAAATGCAGAAAGGCAAAATATTAAATGCATCCTTTCCAGATCATTATGCAATAAAAATTACATGTAATAAAGAGCCATGAAAAAAAGATTAAAAATTTTTTTTTTTTGTTTTTGCTTTTTGGTGGGACATTCGGGGTTAAGTGACTTGCCCACCGTCACACAGCTAGTAAGTGTCAAGTGTGTGAGGCCAGATTTGAACTCGAGTCCTCCTGACTCCAAGGCCAGAGCTCTATCCACTGCGCCACCTAGCTGCCCCAAAAGAGTAAAAATTAATTAGAAACAAAATAATCTAATCCTGAACAATGAGTGGGTCAAACAACAAATCATGAAAACATTAACTTCATCAAAGAGAATGATAGTAATGAGACAACATAACAAAACTCATGAGATATAGCCAAAGCAGTTCTTAGGGGAAATTTTATATGTCTAAATGATTACATCAATAAAATATAGAAAGAGATCAATGCAACTAAAAAAGCTAGGAAGAAACAAAAACCTTCAAATACCAAATTAGAAATTCTGAAAATCAAAGGAGAGATTAATAAAATTGAAAGTAAGAAAACTATTGAACTAATAAATAAAACCAAGAGCTAGTTTTTTGAAAAACCCGATAAAATAGTTAAATATTTGGTTAATTTGATTAAAAAAAAAAAAGAAAACCAAATTGTCAGTATCAAAAAATGAAAAGGGTGAATTCACCACTAGTGAAGAGGAAATGAAAGCAATAATTAGGAGCTATTTTGCCCAACTGTATGCCAATAAATTTGACAATCTAAATGGAATGGATGAATATTTACAATAATTAAATTGCTGAGATTAACAAAAGAAGAAATAAAATACTTAATCCCATTTTAGAAAAAGAAATTGAACAAGCCATCAGCGAATTCCCTAAGAAAAAATTTCTAGGGCGAGATGCATTTAAGTGAATCTCCCTCACATTTAAAGAACAATTAATTCCAATACTATATAAACTGTTTGGAAAAATAGGTGGAGTACTGCCAAATTCCTTTTATGACACAAATGTGGTGCTGATACTTAAACCAGGAAGAACCAAAACAGAGAAAGAAAATTATAGACCAATTTCCCTAATGAGTATTGATGCAAAAATTTTAAATAAAACATTAGCAAAGAGATTACAGCAATTTATCATCAGGACAATACAGTATGACCAGGTGGGATTTATACTATGAATTCAGGGCTGGTTCAATTTTAGGAAAACTATCAGCATAATTGACCATACCAATAACAAAACTAACAGAAATCATATGATTATCTCAATAGGTGCAGAAAAAGCTTTTGACAAAATATAGCACCCATTCCTATTAAAAACACTAGAGAGCATAGGAATAAATGGAGTTTTCCTTAAAATGATAAGCAGTGTATCTAAAACTATCAGCAAGCATTTTATGTACTAGGGATAAGCTAGAAGCTTATCTGTTAAGATCGGGGGTGAAACAAGGATGTCTAATTATCACCACTATTATTCAGTATTGTATTAGAAATGTTAGCTTTAGCAATAATAGAAGAAAAAGAAATTGAAGAAATTAGAATAGGCCACAAGGAAACAAAACTATTCACTTTTTGCAGATGATATAATGATATATTTAGAGAATTCTAGAGAATCAACTGAAAAGCTTCTTGAAACAATCAGCAACTTTAGCAGAGTTGCACGATATAAAATAAACACAAATCATCAGCATTTCTATATTACCAACAAAGCCCAGCAGTAAGAGATAGAGAAATTCTATCTAAAATACCTGTAGACAACATAAAATACTTGGGAATCTACCTGCCAAAACAAACCCAGGAACTATATGAACACAATTACAAAACACTTTTCACACAAATAAAGTAAGATCTAAACAATTGAAAAATATCAATTGCTCATGGGTAGGCTGAGTACCTTACCAAACTACCAAAAACTTATTTTGTGGAGCTAGAAGAAATATCAAAATTTATCTAGAAGAACAAAGGTCAGAATATCAAGGGAATTAATGAAAAATAAAATGCAAAGGAAGGTGGCCTAGCCATGCCAGATCTAAAACTAGAAAGTGGCAATCATTGAAACTATTTGGTACTGGCTAAGAAATAGAGTGGTGGATCAGTGGAATAGGTTAGGTACACAGGACACAGTAATCAGTGAATATAGTAATCTAATAGTTTGATGAACTCAAAGACTTCAGCTTCTGGGATAAGAACTCACTATTTCACAAAAACTGCTGGGAAAACTGGAAAATAGTATGGTAGAAACTAGGCATAGACCAACATTTCACACCCTATACCAAGATAAGATTGAAATGGGTACATAATTTACACATAAAGGGTGATACTATAAGCAACTTAGGAGAGCAAGGAATAGTTTACCTGTCAGAGCTATAGAGAAGAGTTTATGACCGAACAGGAGATAGAGAACATTATGAAATGCAAAATGGATAATTTTGATTGCATTAAATAAAAAGGTTTTGCACAACAAAACCAATGCAACCAAGATTAAAAGGAAAGCAGAAAGCTGAGAAACAATTTTTACAGCCAATATCTGATAAAGGCCTCATTTCTCAAATATATAGAGAACTGAGTCATTTATAGGAATACAAGTCATTCCTCAATTGATAAATGGTCAGAGGATATGAACACGCAATTTTTAGATGAAGAAATTGAAACTATCTATAATCATATGAAAAAATGCTCTAAATCACTATTGATTAGAGAAATGCAAATCAAAGCAACTCTGAGGTACCACCTCACATCTATCAGATGATTGGCTAATATGACAGAAAAGGAAAATGATAAATGTTGGAGATGTGGGAAAATTGGAACACTTGTGCATTGTTGGTGGAGTTGTGGACTGGAGAGCCCGGGGGAACTATGCCCAAAGAGAGTCCACAACTGGAGAGCCCGGGGGAACTATGCCCAAAGGGCTCTAAAACTGTGCATACCCTTTGATCTAGCAATACCACTACTAGGTCTGTCTCCCAAAGAGAGCATAGACAAAGGAAAAGAACCCACATGTACAAAAATATTTATAGCAGCTCTTTTGGTGGTGGCAAAGAATTGGAAATTGAGAGGATGCCCATCAATTGGGGAATGACTGAACAAGTTGTGGTATATGAATGTAATGGAATACTATTGTTCCATAAGAAATGATGAGCAGGTAGACTTCAGAAAAACCTGGAAAGACTGGTATGGACTGATGCTGAGTGAAGTGAGCAGAGCCAAGAGACCATTATATGCAGTAACAACCACATTATGTGATGATCAGCTATAATAGACTTAGCTCTTCTCGGCAATATAATGATCCAAAAGACTCATGGTGGAAAATGCTATCCACATCCAGAGAAAGAACATGGAGTCTGAATGCAGATTGAAGCATACTATTTTCACTCTTTTTTTGCTTTTTGTTTTTTTCTTTCTCATGGTTTTTCCCTTTTGTTCTGATTCTTATTTCATACTATTAATATGGAAATATGTTTAACATGATTGTACATGTATAATCTATATCTGATTGCTGTCTTGGTGAGGGAAGGGAGGAAGGGAGAAAAATTTGGAACTCAAAATCATACAAAAATGAATATTGACTGTAAGTGAAAAAAAGGGAGTTCATAAAACTTCATAAATAGACTATGTTCAAGATTGCTAGGTCCCATGTCTTTTCAGATAATTAACAGGTGCAGTAACAAGGAAATGCTAAATAAACATTTAGGAATTACAAGGATGATGATGCTTGTGTGTGAGTTGATATGTATATGTAAATCTCAGTTTTTGTGTATTTAAAAATTGAACAGGATTTGTTTACAATACCTTTCCCTTTTCTCATCAATTTGTTAGCAATTTAGGGTTTTAATGTGAACTTTCTCTCTCTCTCTCTCTCTCTCTCTCTCAATCTACATATATATATATATATATATAATTTTTTTTTTGCCTGAAACATTCTCCTCAGTGTTTTGATGGTTTTTTTTTTTTTAATGTTTTCAGATTCGTTACATTTCACAAACACAAGGTCTGCCAGCAGAATATCTTTTGAGTGCAGGAACAAAAACAAGCAGGTTTTTCAACAGAGATCCTAATTTGGGTTACCCCCTGTGGAGACTAAAGGTCTGTTTTTTATTTTCTTTCACTAAATCCTAAGAATTCATTATTTTAGCATAAAATCCTTGTGCAAGTTAAAATGAACATAAGTGTTTGATAACTGCTTTTTAAAAGTGATTTTATATTATGTCCATTTGGCCATAGCCCATTGGTAAAGATTTATTTTAAAATGTCAGATATTTGAAGTTATTTTGCTTGTTTAGGATCAGTAGTTGTGAAAGACTTAGGTGATATGAAGAACTAAAATAATTTATGTAATGACCATCTATCAGGGAATGTTTATTCTGCTTGTCAAAAACTCAACGTATTTTTCTGGTAGTACTAAGCATTGAGGCCTTATGTGTTTCCTCAAAGTAAATCTCCGCCTTTTTTTTCTTGGGCCTACCTCTCTCTCTCTCTCTCTCTCTCTCTCTCTCTCTCTCTCTCTTTCTCTCTCTTTCTCTTGATCTCTCCTTGAAGTGATTTGATTAACCCCTGGTGCTTTGCCTTCTTGGCTTACTAGATACCAAACACCTTTAGTTTCTACCATTGGTGTTGTCTCATAAATTATATTCAAGCAGCCTGCAGAAAAGACTGGATGTTGTCATCTGCCAGGAACTGTGTTATGCCACCGGGTTGTGTGCTTGTGGTTTTTGTTTTTTTTTAAAACCATCTCTATAAGGATAGCTAGATACTGAGTTCACTTCTCTGTTTGTGTATTGCACATTTTTGTTTGTTGTCTGTAATTGGCAGGGTGGCCACACTTATTTCTTTGCTTTCTGACCTTTATTTAAAACAAAATGTGAACATTGCAACCAGATGGATTTTATCCCCCTCTACAAATCATGTTTTACAGACACCAGAGGAACATGAATTAGAAACAGGAATAAAATCAAAAGAAGCCCGGAAGTACATATTCAACTGTTTAGATGACATGGCCCAGGTGAGTTATTGTGCAGGTCTCATTAAATGTTGCCTTTCTAAATAAATAGACCTAAAGAAGAAATGACTGTATTATTTAAGCAGCATGATATATACTCATTGCTTGCAGAAAGAAATTTGCATATGAATTCAAATATGTGATTAAAGGGCATTTAAATCTTGCCAAAAGATTAGAAATATTTAGAAATACTTGTTTCTCAATCATTTCCAATTATCTGTTCTAGTTGGGCTCAGATATTTTGTGAAATGTGTTTAGGAGCAGGTTTCTTCTGCATTCTGATTCTTCTAAACAATAAAGTAAGTTTTGGAGATCTGGAATGCTTATTTGTGTGTCTTTAAATTTTGTGAAAAATAGAGTGAAAAAACACTTTATGTTTTTAAACATTTAGAATTTCTTGGCTGTTTGACAAATTTGGGGTAGGTTTTTGTTCACACAAAGTAAGGAGACCTTCTTTTAGTTTGGATACTTAGGGAATCCATTAGTAAAAGAAATTTTTCCAATATTCCTCCATTGGGGAATCCATATTTTGGGGAAAAAGCAAGTGACTGATGTCTGTAATTAGTGTTTTATGTAATTGAAAATGACATTTCCAAATTTTTCTTGGAAAGGTGAATATGTCTACAGACTTAGAGGGAACTGATATGTTGGCAGAAAAGGCGGATCGAAGAGAGTACATTGATTTGTTAAAAAAGATGTTGACAATTGATGCAGATAAGAGAATTACTCCACTGAAAACCCTCAACCACCCATTTGTGACAATGACTCATCTTTTGGATTTCCCACACAGCAATCAGTGAGTTTGGGGTAATCTTGGCATTGGGGAATTTTAGCCATAGTTTTCAGTTTGTGTTAAAATTTGTACTGCCTACTTCATTCCCTTCTAATAGTTAAAGAAAACTCTTGACTTGAGTACCACTTTAGTTCTTATATATTTGTATCTTTGGTGTATTTTTTCTTTTAATTTCCAAATCATGAGGTTTGGATCTTTGGTGTATTTTTTCTTTTAATTTACAAATTATGAGGTTACAGTTCAGGTGCTGATTTTTCTTTGTTTTTAATCAAGAAATGTCTTTTTAAAGGTATATTAAGCCCCTTTATACCCACACAATGATAAAAAAAAAATAAATAAAAAACACATTCTTTGTATTAATACCGAGGAGTGAGCATTGTGTGTTTGCATGATATGTTGTTTTTCCGGATGAGTCCTGAATCTTCAATCTTTGTGTTGCAGTGTTAAGTCATGCTTTCAGAATATGGAGATCTGCAAAAGGAGGGGTCATATGTATGATACGGTGAAACAGATCAAGAGCCCATTCACCACTCATGTTGCCCCCAACACAAGCACAAATCTAACTATGACCTTTAGCAACCAGCTCAATACCGGGCACAATCAGGTATGCCAGGAGCTGGACAAAATCATTTTGGAAACGTAAAGCAAAGTGGGACGAAATGAAGGTGGTCGGATGTAGCAGCAGGGGTAGGTAGAGTAGTCTTGTTGATGAAGCTTTGTTATGGCATCAGGAATTAATTCTCCATTGTGGTGGTACCATGATTGTATCAAAAGTAAAGCACCTACTCAAAAAGAGAATTACACAGATCTGATCCCTGCCCTGTGAGAGCTTTCAGTTTACAAAAAGATCAAGAAAATGGAACCAAACTCTTGAACTTTTTGCTGACTGTTAGTTGTAGTCCTGGGCCTTAGGCTCATGGCTGTTAGTATGACTTGTTAGGATAACCTCACTTTGAGCTGATCATATTGAGTTTCTACTAGTTAACTTTAACAGTTTATAATTTTAATTTGTTATTCAAAGAAAACAATCGTGTTTAAGTCTGGGCTTTTGAAAGCCTAGGTTTAATGTTTAAATTGGACTCATTTTTAAAAGTAAAAGGTTGATTGAAGATTTTTGTGTGTGATAGTGGGGTTTAGATGAAACGGAGCATTGTGGCATTTCAAATCCTGCCCCTTTTTACATGGAATGATGCTGGGACAGCCACTTTTGATTGGTTTGGGAACCAAAGAAGAGGTATATATTTTAAGGGGGAATGACCATTTAACTACATTTTTGAGACTGAGAATTTGTCTTAAGGCAAAAGGTTATTCAAAGACAATCATTATCCTAGTTCTGTAGTTTCAAAATTTTAGCTGTTGGATAAATGTTGTGTGTGGATGTAGTGCCCTCTGGCCCATCCTCCATTGTACAGTTCTTCTCTTTGTGTTTTTAGGCCAGTGTTTTAGCATCCAGTTCCACTGCAGCAGCTGCCACTCTCTCTCTGGCTAATTCGGATGTCTCCCTGCTAAACTACCAGTCTGCTCTGTACCCATCGTCGGCAGCACCTGTTGCAGGAGTTGCCCAGCAGAGTGTTTCCTTGCAGCCTGGAACTACTCAGATTTGCACTCAGACAGATCCATTCCAGCAGACATTCATCGTGTGTCCACCTGCTTTTCAAAGTATGTGGGGAAAAAACCCTGTCTCACTCGATTGGGACTCTGCCGTGCCTACTTCAGGCAACTTATTGCACTTTGTATTTGTGTTAGTCCTTCCCTCTAGAAGCTTAGTTATTCTCGATTCTTACAGTCAGAGTGATTAGAGATCAGGTCATGGCACCAGTCAGTCTTGTTCCCTGCTGTTTCCTCCTCCCTTCCTACTGGTCAGATGCTCCTCCTCTTACATTCAAGGTCTGATGGTGCTTTGGATCTAGAACACATCCTCAAGAAGTTGACTGTAAATGGAATTATATATTAAATTTCATTTTTATTACAAAATTGTAAAAAGTACTGAAACATAATAAAATCCAACTTAAAATAGATGTTTAGAGCTGGAAGTTACCTTAGACACATTTTGTCTAGCCTCCTCATTTTAAAGATGAGGAAACTGAGGCAGGGTTGAGAAAAAACATGTTTAGATAAAAAAAATTAGAATTATCTGATAAAATGTTAATCACAGTATTTAAATTACAAAATAAAAGCATTCTGTAAGGAAAATACCCAAAGCCTTGCCACATGCAGAGGTGGAACAAGAGAAGGCGTTAGGATTTTCTTACTTTGTGAATCGTTTTTCTGCTTCTGGCTGCATTATTAACAGAAGAGTAAGGCAGCTGGCAAGGGGGAAGCTTTGTCTGAGGGTGTCTCAAAAAAGCATTTTTGTTTCTCCTCTATTCCTCCTCTTCCGTGATTGTATTATAATCTTGAGGAAAAGCCCCTTAACTCTTCCCTGTCTGGCTCTTCTTTCTATAAGGAGGGAAAACAAATGTTTAGTGGTCTGACAAGTCTTTTTTAAACAAACCTTCTGAACACGATCCCTGGTTCCTCAGTAGAGGGATGCTGGGGCTAGATCTCCAAGGCAGCAGACCAGAATTTAGAGTACTTTCAGATGCTTCCTAGCCCTTTAAAAGCAAGGTTGACTGTTGCCTTATATTGGTTGCTGATTGACCGTCACTCTTTTGTTTGTCTGGTTTCTGACAGTCAGAGGAAGTGGGAAGGAAGGAAGGAAGGGCTAGGTGGGACAGATTACTGGAATGGCAGGAGAGCAATAGCCATGTATACCACTGAGAAGCCTGAGGAAGAGCTGAGGAGCAGATTTGAATTTCCATAAATGCAAATCTAACCTAATCTATTCTAATTTCCCAGATGTATAAGGTTTATACCAGAAAAATACCCTATGTATTGGGTTGTAATGCCTAATGAAAGTAATTGGGTATTGAATAATACCTGTACTGGCCTTGCTGGACTGCTTCCTTTCCTTCCTACCCGACCATCCCACCTCTCTATCTCCACATCTTAAACTTTGCTTCTCAGACAGTTTTCACACCTGTGGCCCCATGAATTGGCTGTTGCTTCTCAGTTGGAGCTTTTGAGGGTATAGGGGAGCTTGAGGGAAAAATAACTTCTGAAGACTCAGGAAAAAGTCTTGTTTTGGTCTTATTAAATGTCTGAGCTGTGGTGGATGGAGCTTGAGAAACAATTGTTCTGTATCAGAGGCTTCTTACATCTAAGCTCAGGGGGTGTATATGGAGCATAAACCCCTGGACAAACTCTTCTCCTGTCCTTGTGATTATTCTGGTGTCTAGAACTAGATAAGAAAGGAAGTGGAAAACCGAAAATGGAGAAGTATAGGTATACAGTATAGCCCCTTATAAGGGAGTATAAAAGCAGGTGTTTGAAGAGTTGTCTGGTGAGAGGTCAGCTTAAGCAGTCATACCTGCATGTTTGGTGCTTGCAGTCTCCTGTAGGAGACAGTGTCAAAAATGAAAGTAATTCATTCACATGAAGGTAACTCATGGTCTTTTTTGAGCTTAAGATTGACTATTTTTGTACTGCTATATCTCAATATTCTTATCTTGTAATTTCATATTGATTTCTAATATTTAATCATTGTACTTGATTGGTGTCCAACTTGCAACTTACATGCAGTTGGGAACTCTGAATAAGTTAACTTAGAACCAGGGTCCTTTCTAGTGACCACAGTCAGATTTAGAAGCCCATGACTTTTAGGGTACTGTTTTCTGCACTATTGAGATTGGACAGATAGATGTGGCTTTTGTTCAAAGGTGACTATCAAAATCTCACAGTTTTATTTTAGAGCATTACCCTGGAAGTGACAACTGAGCTAGAGCTTCTTCAATGAATTTTTCTTTCTGAAATTTTATATCCCTAGTGTCAGCAATTTAGAGGAAGCTGCCACATTAATCTAGATTTGCAGGTAGCCATATGCTTGAGGCATACGGACGAGAAGATTGTTTAATTGCCTGGTGAGGTTGTGCAACCCAAGAAGGGAGGAGGGTTGGCACTTTTTTTATTCTAATCTTAGATTGTATTAAAGTTATTTCTGAGAAGATCATTTTAATCCCATCTTATTTTCTTTAGTTTGTTTTAGACAGTTTTGGATTGGCCTCTCCCTTTAGTTTAACATATTAGGGTGTAGCTGAAGTGGAAAATTTTGGTAGACCAATTTGCTGCAGACAGCAAAGACTGTTAAGTTTGGGGATTGTTCTTCTCTCATACCAGCGTAGCAATAGTAGGAGAGTTTGGGAGATGTTGATAACTTAGAAAATGTCACTGGAGGAGTCCTCTGATTGGAATGGCTCACGTTCTGATCAAAGAAAACTGGGAGGCTCGAGTGGAGGAAAATGATGATTACCTGTAGACAAAGCTGACATTCTCTTCGTTTTGATTTTATCATTTGGTTGGTTGTTGGTAAGTTAGAGGGATGTTTTCCTGATAATTTTTTGCTCTTCTTCTTAATTCTAATAAAAAAGGAAAACTCTCTAGAGTCTTTTCCCTTTTTCTCATCTTCCCTTCTCCCCAGGTGAAATATTTTCATTTGTAGGAAAGGTCCGTGAAGTCTTGATGTGACCACAGGCCTTTCCTAGAAACCTTGGTTAAAATGGTTTTGCTGCTATGGCTTTGGGAAGCAAGGAAAGCCGCCTTTTCTTCGTAGCAACGTGATACCTACAAGAGAGGTTGGGCATGCTTGTTAGACAAGCTGTTGTTGATAAAGCTTTTGCAGCAGTGACTCAAAGGCATCTGGTTAAATTTCTAAAATAAATAGAAAAAAAAAATCTTAAACAGAACTAACTTTATTGTGTTTCTAATAAGTTCAAGTATTAGTCCCTTGAATTTTGGTACTGATATTTTTAAAAGAAAATGAGTCATTTCTGAACTAGGATTTTGTTGTTGTTGTTGTTGTTGGAATAAGAGGGAAGACCCCCTTCAAAGCCTAGAAGTTGAATCTTAGGTGAATATGCTTTCTGTTGTTTTGAATAGTGCCATCTTAGCTGCTAAGCCAAGAGAACTGCAGCATCTTTATATTCCTGTAAATGTAAAACACATTTATAAAGAACATAAACATATTTATGTTGTTGCTTTACATTGAAATCATGTTTAAACAAAATGGTCCCATTTTGAAAAAGAAGTTTAAATTTTTACCTTGATGGACCAAAATGGATGTGAGAAGATAGAGATATGAATAAGAAACATTTATTAGAACTAATTATCCTTAGATCACAATTGTATGGTTAGGTCATATAATTTGCAGAGTAATTTTTAGTCTGTACTGATAGGGAGAGGATGGAGAAATGAGTTCAGTGATACTTCTTATGTCATGAAGAAGTATCATTCTATTTTTTATTAGAGGAGGACCTAGAGCTCACTGAAACCAGGTGATCCTTGAGCAAACCTCTTCCAGCAATCGGTTCTGGAGAGAGCCATTTTTTTTCCTTGACTCCTAAAAATTTGGTCCTTTCTCAAAGTCCTTTGCTTCAAGTGGCAGGGGCTAGGGCTTGAGGGGACAGCATCTGGCTCTTCAGTAAAGCAATCTCACCATATTATTGTTCCTGGCAGCTGGACTCCAGGCACCTGCGAAGCATTCTGGATTCCCTGTGAGGATGGATAATGCTGTGCCAATTGTGCCCCAGGCGCCTGCTGCTCAACCACTACAGATCCAGTCAGGAGTTCTCACCCAGGTAAAACAGCCAGGACACACTGGAGACCCAGTAACTCTGAAATAATAGTTCGAGTTGGCTTTCACTGGCCTCTGACAACTGTCCCTTGTAATGGTCTTTGTTCTGACTAGCAGGTCTTTCTTGGTCATAATTCAGTGGACGTAAAACCAAACCTCTCTGGTGAATGACAGTAGTTGAGATGCTTGGTTCTGTTAGTGTGTTTTTTAGATTTGCAAGAGTAGAAACCAGGCACCAGGAAAGTAGGAATTCACCTGAGTGGGACTTTTCCAGCTCCTGGTGCTGGAATTGGAATCTTCCTTTTGATTGATAGTTGATACGCATATAGTACACACACTTGCTATTTTGATTCTAAAATACATGATATCCAGGTGGTTCTCCTGGTCATCTGAGTCTGGGAAGCTGGATCACAACCTCATATTCCTTTAAAGAAAGAATCCTTCTGTTTCCCCTGATCCTAGTGTGTTGATTTCATTAGGTCATAAGAAGAATAAATACTTGATACTTTTTATAGAACATGCAACTGAGAATTCAGGATGGCCTATGGTATGTGTATATAAATAGCTAACTTGTTATGATTCAAATGTATACAATTTTGGTCCTTGGCTATGTCATGAATTCTAAAATCTTAAAACCTTGTTTTGAGAGAGGGAATAAACAATTTTTTAAGTGATTTCTTAATTGACTGAGTTTCAAAGAACTAGTCCTCTGAATCCATCCCAGGAAAGATTCCTAGACTTTTCCCCTTGGTCCATTGGTATTTGGCCTAATGGGTGACCTCTGTGGAGAACTGAAGGGGAAGATTGTGCCTGGTACATGTGTTTATGTGATTTGAGATTGCTGATATGTGTCAGTAATGATTCTGGGGTGGGGCAAGTACTTTCTGAACCCAGTTAACCTGCCTCCATATGTTTGTTTCACTCACCTGCCTGATCTACGTTTCAGGGAAGCTGTACACCACTAATGGTAGCAACTCTCCATCCTCAAGTAGCCACCATCACACCGCAGTATGCGGTGCCCTTTACTCTGAGCTGCGCAGCCGGCCGGCCGGCGCTGGTTGAACAGACTGCCGCTGTACTGGTAATTCCCCTCACTTGATTGTGTTACTAACGGAGTTTCTTTGGTTTCTTTTTTTTTCTGTTTGTTTTTTGTTCTGTTTTCTCATTTTTTTTTTAACTTAGACCTTGCAGAGGGCATGGAAGCATGTGCCATCTTGTGGCTGTGTTCTTGCTCCATCTTTAATGTCTCATTGTTTTCCTCCCTGATACTTGCTGAAGCACTGTCTGACTGATGTTCAGTGTGGCTCTGTAAAGATTCCAGAACCCTTGGCTTCTGTTCTTTACCAGCCTAATGGGATAAGCCCCTGAAGAGCTTCTGCTAGCTTGTGTTTACTGTCCTAGCTTTGCCCTTCGACCCTTGAGAATAAAGGAAGTGGGCTTGAGTTTGGCTTGGCTACAAGGCACCCCTGGATGGCCAGCATGTGAATTTCTTGGCAAGTCATTAGCTTTCCTCTTTGTTTTGCTCTTTGAATCATCTCTGTACATAGAAATGTGGAAGGTGATGCTTAAGCTGTGGTTACAACTCACACCAGCAGTGCTTTTTAGTCTATTGCTTTAGTCATTGGTATTAACCTTCTTTGAACACATGGAAAGAGTGTCTAGCCTTTAATTATCCATAATCAATCAATGACAACTTCCTTATCTAGTTCAAGGTGTTGTTCCCTTCAGATGCTTTTAGATCATATTTCAGTTTTGGCTGAAATTAAAGGTGAGCTAATTTTTAGGGTATGAGATGCCCTCTATTTTACGGTAAATGTAAGTACCTCATCTATGCTAGGCTGTAAAGATATTTTTTTTTATCTAGAGATAAAAATGCATCTTACACTTATGTGCTAGGCTAGTATTTGAATTAAAAAAAATTGAATTGGGGGGAAGTCTAGAGTAGTAGCAACTGTAGCATTAGGGGAATGATAGAAAAAAGTGGGCCTTAAAGGTACATTTTAGGATCGATCACCATTTAAAGAGTGATTGTGCTTGTGCTTGACTTTTATTTTTTGCATTGGAATTGACTAATGGAGATCTAGCATTTCTCTTATTTGGAAAGCTCCTAAATTAGATGAGAAAGGCTTTTGAACTCCTCATGATGCACTTGGGGCTCAGAGCAAATTTGAATTTGTTCTTTGTGACTCATGTCAGCTACTCTTCTTCCCTGAAACACTCATTAGTTCTTGGGAGGACTGTCCTTTCACTAGTGCACAACTTGGTTAGATAGTATTTCGAAGCATTGGTGAAGGAACATAACCCTAGTCTCTAAATTAATCACGTCAGTGACATAAAGCCCACATAGCAAGGTAGTCAGAAATTTTTAAAACTTTCTTGACTCAAGCCCCTGGTTCTAACTTGCTTACCTGGAGTTTAGAAGTCTGGAGTGTTAGCTGACACTCCTTCTTTGCTGCTTTGACTCAGTTCGCACTAGCCATTTGCTAAGCTTTGCATATTTTTGTCTTTCCTCTGTCAAAACAGTTCGTCGCTTGGAACGCCAGATTTCTGCCTCACGTTGGGATGTTATTTCTTGCTCTGTATTAAACTACATGCTTTGTCTTGTGCAGGTGTTGGCTTTTGGAAAGACGCATGGTGTGACTTAACATATTTCTCTTTTTTTTCATTATTCTGCTTATGGTAGCAGACGTGTTTGCAGTTTCTCTGCTTTGAAGGCTTCTTGTTTGGAACCAGTATTTGTAATAAGTGGATCTGTTACTTGCAGAAATATTTTAAAAACACTATGTGTGTTGATGGTCTTGTAGTTTTAAATTCAAGAAACAGACCCATCTGTCCCCCCCAAGCATTGTAGGTGTATTGTACTGCAGAATATCAGTTGAAAAAGGAAGTGTGTAAATCTGCTTCCATTTTTTCCGGGAAATACTAGAATCTTGGGAGCAGCAGATGCAGTAAACATGTTTGCTGCTATGTGTATTATTAATAATATGGCATTTAGCAAAGCAGAAGTAATACATACTATAGTGATAAGTTTTTATGGAACTTTAAAAAAAAAGTCAAGACAAAAATTTTTGCAGAAATAGCATACTTGTTGGTATTATGAACAGATATCTTTTTTTTTCAGTTTTTTATTTTCATATTCTATAATCATGCAACTATACATATCTGTGTTTAGTTAGGTTGTGCTTGATAGCATAAGCCTGGATTTCTGCCAAATAGTTTGACCTTTGGTCATTCACATGTCATATCTCCATTTTTTTAAGTCTTTCTTTTAATCAAAAAGATGTGATAGACCTACTCTTTTTTTTTTTTGTGGATTGAATTGGTCTGATGCATGTTATCTGCTTACACTTAGGTTTGATAATTCTTTTTAATTTCATTGTGATTCAGCATTTTTCTATTCTTTTTTTAGGAATGTAGTCCTAGGTACTTTGTAGAAATAACACCCCCCAGCATTCAATGGAATTGTGTCTATGAACTCTGATTGTTTTTCTCTGCAGTACAATCAAAACTCTTACCATAGAGGTATTTTTTTCCCTCCAATTCCCAGGGGGAGAGCTTCTGGGATAGGTGGCCAAAAGATAGTAGTACTTCACTTTTTCCTCATGATAAGAATTAAAACCATGAGCCCCTCTGACCCTTCTTTCTTCTTTGTAATTTTTGCAAGTTAACAATCTACAAATAACTTTTTGTTTAAAACAAACTTTGCATTTAATTTTTCTCGAGGGGGCCAATGATAAGTCAAGTTTGGATCTCTGTATGTGTGCTTCCTTACAGCAGGCTTGGCCTGGAGGGACCCAGCAGATACTCTTGCCTTCAACTTGGCAGCAGTTGCCTGGGGTAGCTCTACACAATTCTGTCCAGCCCACAGCAGTTATTCCAGAGACCATGGGGAGTAGCCAGCAGCTGGGAGACTGGAGGCAAGTGTCTTGCTATTGCTTTGAGAGTGACTGTTCAAGGATGAGAAGAGCCGCTAGAGTGTGGGGGACTTTGGTGGCATAGGGCATGTGGGAGAATAAAGGGAGAAGGGAGAGACTTAGCCTTCTTTTAAAATCCCTGACAGTATATTATTCAAATCAAGTAGAGACATAAGGTCATTGAAAAAGCTGCTAATAAGGGAAAGATTGACCCCTAGGGTCAAGAAACATCTAGGTTGGTTTTAAATAATTTCTTGGCCAGCAATTTCAGAAAATGTAAGATGACATAGTAGGAATGTAAGCCTAATAATAATCCATGGGCCAGATTTTAAGAGAAAACCAATCTCTGTGTCCCCACCCCATCCCCTGCAACCCCTTTTCCTCCCCCCTTCCCCCCCCCCTTCCCCCCGCCACCCCTTTCCCTCCTTCCGTCCCTCCATTGTTTGGCTGCTTCTTTGCCTCTTAGCTTCTTTTGATTCTGTCTTCCTCAAGTCTGAAGAATTCAGTCTCTTTTGCTTCCTTCTGTTAACCCAGGAATGCCCACTCACATGGCAGCCAGTACAGTACCCTCATGCAGCAGCCCTCCCTGCTGACGAACCACGTGACTCTGGCCACAGCTCAGCCTCTCAATGTTGGTGTTGCTCATGTCGTCAGGCAGCAGCAGTCTGGTTCCCTCCCCTCCAAGAAGAACAAGCAGCCAGCCCCAGCCAAGTAAGTTGTTTCCATGGATGTCTAGAACCATGTGCCTGCTTGGCAGGATTTTGTTGCCTAGTACTCAGGGAGTTGCAGTGAAGTATTTTGCCTAATGGCAGGTCAGGTTTCGTAGTTACGTTGTCAGGGGAATTTTGGATGGTTCATCTTTCTGTCAGAGCAGGATGACTTAAGTGTCTGCTTCCTAGTCACTGTCATTCTTTCTTTCTGGGCTCAGCTTTTTCTTAATGTGTGAGATTATTTTCACATCTGTCCATTTGACTGGGAGGTCTCATAAAAGAACAGAGTTTCCCCTTGTACCTATTGCCCTTTGCTTAGGAACTGTTTATAATAGTGTATTTGTTTTCATTATAATTATTTTCTTATTGTTAAATCTGTCATTTTAATTATAAAAGAAAAGAAAAAACGACAGCTCTAAATGGGAAAAAAATAAAGTAGGGAAGCTGGTGAAAATATTCCTCATTTGTAGGGTTAAGTATTGGCCTTTCTTTCCCTGTGACCTTTTCTTGCAGAACTGTCTCCACATTGGATGTCTTACCTACCCAAGTCTATTCACTGATTGGGAGCAGCCCACTCCGTACCAACTCTTCCTATAATCCCCTGGTCCCTGTGCAGGATCAGCCCCAGCCCATCGTTATCCCAGACACCCCCAGCCCTCCTGTGAGTGTCATCACCATCCGCAGTGACACCGACGAGGAGGAGGACAGCAAGTATAAGCCCAGCAGGTAAAGCAGGTGGAAGGCTGTCTGGCCACGTGGTCCCTGCCCTTGGCTTCGGACTGTGGACTCCCACCCCACTGGTGACTCAGCTGAGCCTCTGTGGAAAGCAGGCGTTGTGACGGGAAGAAAGGACTCAGAGGAAAGTCATTTGGGGAGTGTGACCGCGCTTGAGGCTCAGTCTGCTCCTGAGATCCCTCCCTGAGCCCTGGGAACAGACTCAGCTGTGCAGTGCTCCTGTCCCATTGTACATTTCAGCCAACTAAATCAGTTTTGCAGAGAAGTCAAATCAGCAAGTTTTTCTTGAGCTCACAGGGTGCACTGGCCATGTCCTAAGTGCCTGGGGTGGGCCAGGATTGTTCCCACCATGAGGAACTTTATAGTTTAAACAGGAGAGGTGAAGGAGCCAAAACATGTAATACTTCACTTTTGTAGAGTATTTGATGTGTCTCATGAGCACGTTCACATGTATTACCTTATGCAGTCCTCACAGCAGCCCTGTGAGGTAAGCAAGATGGGCGTGTTTATCTCCATGTTAGAAGAACTAGCCTGTGTTATGACTTGCCTGAGGTCGGACAGCTAATAAGCAGCAGAAGCAGTGCTAGGATTCTAGTTTCTGAGATGTAGTTTGGTATTCTTGTCACTACACTGTGCTGCTTCCTAGAATGAACACAAGTAGGGCAGGTCAGAGACAGTGGAAGGATGGATGGATTGCCGCGGGGGCTGACGTAATCTGAGAAGCCTCCACAAGGACAACCTGAGACTGAACCAAGCACCAGTCTGATTTTCTTCTTCCACTGGCCAGTTTGCAAAAGGAAACCTTGGTTAGAAAGTTTGGCAGGGTTCTATGAAATGGGATCACCTCCAAATATTTAAGTTAAGAAGCACCAATATTTATTGACCCTCTGCTTTGTTTAGAACCCCAACTGGACATGATGGGGGTGGAGGGAAGAATGAAAAGGATGCCTTTGGAGAGCCAATAGTTTAATGAGGGGAGGTAGCGTGTATGTATGGAAAATAACAACAGGTAACAATAACAAAATAACAATATTTAGTTAATATATAAATAAACTCAGATGAATTAGTGTACTGAGAACCCCACGCAGATCACAGGAGTGCTCTCGGCCAGGTGGGCTTAACTGGAAAGCTTCCTTAAAAAGAAGTGTGGGGCTAGGGACAGTTGATAAAACTGGGTTTTGAAGATGTTGACTTGGATTGGGGGAGACTAAAAGAGAAGAACATTTCAAGTGGGGAGAAGTGGATTGTGCAGCAGCCCAGCAGAGAAGAGGAGCACAGAACACGTAGGCTATGTGGAACAGTATTGCTTAACCAACACAGAACAGAATCTGTTGGGAAATAATGAGGAGCGAGGCCGGGGAGATGATCTTTACTGCATGTGATGGGAAGTAGAGATTTCAGGCCGTGGGGTGTCAGCCACCACAGACTCTTGACTTCTCAAGAGTGACTTAAAAGTGGTATTTGAGAAGATTACTAGTTTTGCTTGGGATGTCTGTAAAGTGCTAGAGACCTGAAGCAGGCTCACCAGCTAGGAGGCTTTGCCGAAAGAACAGTTGAGTTTTCATGAACTCTCTCCTCTGCAGCTCCAGCCTGAAGCCAAGGTCCAATGTCATCAGCTATGTCACTGTCAATGATTCTCCCGATTCCGACTCATCTCTGAGCAGTCCGTATTCTACAGACACTCTGGCTACCATCCGGGGCAATCCAGGGCCCCTCCTAGAAGGACCTGGCCGGGCTGTGACAGATGGTCCCGGGGCACGAACCATCATTGTGCCACCCCTGAAAGCTCAACTTGGTGATTGTACAGTGGCAACCCAGGCCTCAGGTGGGTGTCTGACCGATGCAGAGGGACAATGCCTAGCTATGAAAGTCTTTCTGACCATCTAGGTTATGTTTACTTGGAAGTAACCTTACAGGCCTCTCCCACTTATCCGTGCTAATGTTGTAGAGCAGTAGCATAGCTTTTCCTAAAAATCAGCCCCTCAAAAAAAATCAGTTATGTTTGGCTTTGCAGCACACTATATATAGAATTGTTTTTGACAGCATTTTGTTTCAACTGATATTTAAAATGAGTGGCATTCCCTGAAGTATCCACTTACTTCCAATGGAGAGGTGGCTTAGATGTATGGATGACAGGGAGAAAGTGGCTTGGAATTACAAATTTATACCAGAGAACCCAAAGCTGGACAGTCGTGAAGTAGAGAGTTGATAGAGAAATTTTAAAAAACAATTACAATCGGCCAAGATTCCTTCAGATCTTAAGATAATGCTTTTAGTAGCAGTGTAGAAAGGACACGATCAGGATTATGTCACAGATTTCACTTTTTTTCTGTGTAGTCATTTCCTTTGTATCTGAGAGTATGGGCCTCCAGCTCAGTTACATGATTAGTGATTACTGTAGACTGTCCTGTTGGTGGGTGATGGATTCAGAGCCACATGGAATATGACTTTTTCCAGCATAGCTTACATAGTACATCAGTTGTGGTATTTCTGTCTGGCATTTGAGACCTGGAATCCAGGAACAGAAAACCTTTCCAGTGCAGGCAGGTGAGGCCTCAGCATATCAAGCCAAGGGACGAAATTTTCAGGCTTATAGGCCAGTGCTATTCCATTCTCACTGGAAAAGTACAAGAGCTTTAGGGAAGCCAAGAGTTCACTGAACCAATGCCCCACATATCCTTTTATACTGATGAGAAGTGGATCATAGAAGCCTGTTGTCTTATTTTGAAAGCAAAATGATAAAAAGATTGAAAAACTGATGTGTTGAGAACTTGTTTTGAGGGCAGTCAACTGATGCTCTAGCATTTATGATGGAATAAGGCTTTTTTTCCTAGCACATTAAAGTTATACATAGGCTTTGACCTTCAGGTGTTAATTTGATGAAATAGGAAACCTACAAAGCAGCATTCGATTGAATATAGTGCCCACTCCATACATTGGTGTTATGGGCATATGGAGTGAGAGTAATAATGAAATTAGATTAGCTCTCCTCAACAGCCATCCACCCAGGACTAACTCCTTCATGATCCTTTTCCAGGCCTCCTGACCAATAAGACCAAGCCAGTTGCCTCAGTGAGCGGTCAGCCATCCGGCTGCTGCATCACCCCCACAGGGTACCGGGCACAACGTGGGGGAGCAAATGTAGCACAGCCGCTCAATCTTAGCCAGGTGAGCATTAAGGGCCTCTTCTTCAGGCTATCTCCTGGAGAATCCCAGGTCCCGCCAGACTCTGTCCCCTTTGGCCTGCTTTGTCCTTTGCCGTATCTGCATATGTCATGTCTCTTCTGTTCAGCCGTCCGATCAGCCTTGCACTCCAGGTTCCCCTGCTTGCCCCAGAGGAATAATGTTTGAGAGCGTAGAGTCCAGGCCAATGCCTGGTTCTGTGTTCTCCGATGCTTTTCTGCTTCTAGGCTCCACCCCAGGATCTTTTCCTTCTCCTTCTAGCTCACAGTTAACTTCATCTCTACATGGGTCCAAGGAAAAAGGGACCCAATTCTCTGGCTGTCCAAGCAACTGCCCTCCATCCTGCTTATTGCTGGATGCTAAAACTGTGCTTCCCTCTTCCATCTAACCCTCTGGTTGGCAAGAAATGATAGTTTCATTGTTTGATAGTTTCATTGTTCTCTTCCTTGGCTGATATGTGGTGGAGGGGAGTGGGGAGGCTGGGAGGTTCATGACATCTCCAGGAAACCAGGAAGTACACAGGAGGGCATGAGCAGGCAGTGTGTGTCAGGCAGAGAGGAGGCATTGGAGGAGTCTAAGAGGAAAACAGAGCAAGAGGAAAATTTAGAAAAGAAGACCCTGGAAGGAAAAGCTAGCAAAGGGGTGCTCAGGTCGAATTCATCAGTGTGCAGGATGATGGATGAGCAGGCAGTGAGCAGAAGAAGGGGAGGGGCAGTGGTAATGGTTAGATCCCAGGAGGAGGACTGTTTGCTGTGGGGGAAAGAAGAGCTTGCCTTCAGCCGAGAAGGCTGGATGGTTTGGGAACCAGAAAGGCTTTGCCGGCTCTCCCAGGAGCCTTTGCTGCCGCCGCCTTGATGGTCCCGAGCCACAGTGACCGCATGATCGCTCATTACCCTTCTTCCTCCTTCCAGAACCAGCAGTCATCAGCTCCATCCCTGCAGGAGAGAAGCAGTAACCCTGCCCCCCGACGGCAGCAGGCGCTTGTGGCCCCGCTGTCCCAGGCCCCCTACACCTTTCAGCATGGCAGTCCGCTGCACTCCACGGGCCACCCGCACCTGCCACCCCAGCCTCACCTGTACACTTATGCTGCACCCAGCTCTGCAGCGGCCCTGGGCTCCACCAGCTCCATTGCACATCTCTTCTCCCCCCAGGGATCCTCGAGGCACACTGCAGCCTATACCACCCATCCTAGCACCCTGGTCCACCAGGTCCCCGTCAGTGTTGGGCCGAGCCTTCTCGCCTCGGCCAGTGTGGCTCCTGCCCAGTACCAGCAACAGTTTGCCACCCAGTCCTACATTGGGTCCTCTCGAGGCTCAACAATTTATACTGGATATCCACTCAGTCCTACAAAGATCAGCCAGTATTCTTACTTGTAGTCAGTGGGCATGGGGGCAAGGGCATGGTTATCCTCTGTTTCTGACATAGAGGTCTTGGAAGTGGGGAATATCAAGCCCTTCCCTTAACCCCACTTTAAAGCCCCCTGCTAGCCCTGTCCGGGGAGCCAGCCAAAGCAGAAGGAAGGTTGTTGGGTTTTTATCCCCTGGGAATCTGTCTCTGTGTTGATGGCATTGTTGTTGTCTCCCAAAGGCTGTGCTATTTTATTTTTTAAATTCTTTGTTTTCTGACAGTGTTTCTGCTGATTGAAGAGTTCAGCTCTCCACCTTCTGCATAGGGGGCCAAACCCTTCTGTTACCAAGGGAGAGGGACCGTTTGAAGGTTGTCCCCTGGAAAATACTTTAACTCTGACTTAGATGCTTTATAGAAATGCTTTTAAAGACAGATCCCTCTTTATTTAACGCCATATTGTTGTAACTGCTGATCAGAGGAAGATGCTGATATAAGGAGACTAAATTTTGATCACAAGTGAGGAAAGAGGAAACTCTCATTTTAAATTTGTTTGAACAAAGGCTTGTCTGCCTTGTAGGTTTTAGCAGCAGCTTGCACGTTACTTGTATGTTTGTATCAGGCATTCTCCCTTAAAATAGAGTACACGTTTTAGCTTTATGGACGTTTTTAAACTCTTGATGTTTTAGTTTTGTCTTGGTGACTTGGATTGTCCTCACTAGGCAGTGGCTGTTTCTGCAGAACTCGTTCCATATCACTTAGTGTTGCTCTTGGGGTGCTCTCAGTTACTTCTGTGCTTGATATAAAGCCGCGTGATCAGGCAGCTCGCCATTGGCTGGTAACTGAGTGTGGGGAAAAGCCACACCCATTGTGAAAGGTTCCGTGTATTTTTAAATTATTTTTTAAAAGTCTGTGATTCAGCTTAACTTTTATCATTGCAAAAGCCATTAAATTAAGGTGATTATTATTATTATTATTATTGTTGTTGTTGTTGTTAATGTTATTGTCTTTGCTGTTGTGTGGTTTTACCCTTCCTGTCTGAATTCTCTCCAAGATCTAATTGTATTATGTGATACTGGCGGAGGTGGGCCCGGCCTCACAGACTGTAAGGGAGGGGGAGCAGCGCTTAAGGGGTTTGTTTGAAATTTTCATTTGACACCGGATCTCTCCCAGGACAGGATTTCTTTACTAAGAAGCACAGGGCGTTTTTTTCCCCACTCTATTTTTTTTCCCCCTCACCTTGCCTTTTATTTTATGTGATTTGCTTGAAGAGGAAGTTAAAGGACATGTTGTGGACAGCTTTTTATACTTCAGAAAGAGTAGCTTCCTTGGTATGTCAGCAGTGAACGGAATGCTCTCTCATTAAGACTTATACAATATGTGCATGTTGGAATTGTGGAAAGAAAAAAAAAGAAAAAAGAAAAAACAGATTTTAAAAATTTATTACTGAATTTAAAAATATTTTAGAAGTTTTGTAATGGTGGTGTTTTAATATTTTGCATAATTAAATATGTACATATCGATTAGAAAAACTATAACAATTTTCCTGCTAACCCCAAATGTTCTTTGTAATCAAAATGTGTAGTGACTACACTTGAACTCTGTACTTAGTGTGTGTGTCTGACCCTCCAATGTTCCCCAGGGATGGAATTGATGTCTCCATTGTATTTAAACCAAAATGAACTGATCTGTGTCAGAATGTCTGTGAACAAATTGCAGTTTTAGAGCACATCACCGTAGCACTGAGTGAGAGAGCAGCGGAGGGAGGCACCCGCAAGGAGTGGAGACCTTTGGATTGTTTTGCACAGGTGTGTGTGGTGAGAAGCTGTTTGGTGTGTGTCTCTTCCCTCCCCCCCCCCCCCCCCCCCGTGCGCGCCCAACCCCCCCCCCCCTTTTATTGTAGTGCCTTATATGATAACTGTAGTGTTTCAGCCCCGTGGACCCTCCACAGTCCACTGAGCTTTATGTGAGCAGGATCCGTAGCTAGCGTGTTGTGTAAATGCATTGTTCTCAGTTTCCCTGTCAGCATTAAAAAAGAATTAAAAGCAACTCTGCTTGATTTTGAGCCTCAGCTAATTTCCTCAGAAACTTTGCTTTTCATGTGGCTCTCATGCTGTGTATTTGCTGCCTTGCTCCTGTGAGAGAGTTCAGGAAGCAGGTGATTAAGAACCAAGCAATATTAGAAATTTAAAAAAAATTTTTTTCTAAAAGCATGTGCAATCACTTTTAGGATGAATTTTTTTTTCCAGTGTGGCACTCACTCTCCTGCTAATAGTTGACATTCCTTGTAAAATATTTGCTTGTTTGGGGGGAATCAAACCTTAAAAATTGATGTGTTTATACCAAAGAGCCTGTTGTGTAGCTCATTGTGTCCCCGTTTCATGAGGAGGAGCTTTGTGATCCCACTGGTGACAGGGAACTCACAAGAGGTTTCTTAGTAGGAGTAATAATAGTATCAAGAGGGAGCTGAAGCCCCATGGGTCATGAGGGAATGTGTGATTTCAGTTAGCAGCCTGTTTATTCTTGGGGACCTTCGAGCTGTGGGATTGTCCTTGTGTCCTGAGCTCCTTGCCCAAGTGAGTTGAGGGTATTGAGGAGAGGAACAGTCAGGTCCTCAGAGTATTTGGAGGTGGGAGGACTGGTTCTGTGTAGAGATGGTGTCAGGGAGGTGCTGGATGGAGACAGGAGATTTCACTGGGCCCCGGGCAGTGAGCTCTGAGCCGGGGTGAACACTGAGGAGTTGTGGAGGTGTGTGGAGTCTCTTCGTTGTGAGAAGTCGGGGCTTCCGAGATGGGACAGGTAGGCGGTCATTTGTGTGGCCTGACAGGAGCTGGTCTGGCTTGTGTGTATTTTTTAGTCATTTCATTAAGGTGTCTTTTTGGCACTGTCTGTGTCACAATAGCTAAGCAGTCCCTGGTATTGAAAAGGGGTTTTTATTTTTGTTTTTTTTTTTTGGTCAACATGTGTGAACTTCATGTCTATTTATTGCCAAGCACATGCTGATTTTCTTACCCAGTACACAAGTTGTTTTCAATGAAATTCCTGTTCTTGTAACCTTGTTCTCCAGGGAACAGGATTCGTGTGTGTGCGTGTGGTGTGTGTGTGTGTGTGTGTGTGTGTGTGTGGTGTGTGTGTGTTTGTTTTTTTCCATAAAAACGACGAGATGCAGAAAAATCTACCCTCTCAAAGCCAACAAGTGGATCTCATTTAAAATATAAGCCTGACTCCACTGAGGAAGAAATGACCAATATCGTGTGCAGTTATATTAATTACGTTTCTAGAGTTGTGGCTTTAAGCATATTAGCAATTCTCGGTCTGAGGCTGCAAATTGGCATTTTAGATTGACCAAGATTACATTGCATGTGCTTGCTGAGTAGGGTGTTATCTTGAGAAATGGCTTTAGACTGTCCTTGTAGCTTTGACCAGATGAGGGAAACCTACTGAGCTTAGTGAGTAGTTGGGCTGGGTCAGAATGACCTGAAATCAAATCAGCTTAAAGAAATCTTGCCAAGCCTCAGGCCCTCCCTCAGAAGGTGCATTTCTCCCATCTCTTACTACAAGGCAAGAGGAAGCAGGGAGTCCTGTTGAAACTGCTGTCCTCTGTCTGTGGTGTGTGTTATGTAGAGGCAGAGGCTACTGCAGGCTCTTCAGGAACCCTCATGGGGTAACAGAGTGACCGTCAGTCCTGGGCTGGGAATCCTGGACAGAGAACTGCATTTTGGGCCAGTCCTGCCAATTCTGAAGTGGCATCTGTCTGTCTGCTCATCTCTAGTCAGAGCAGTCAGGGCTGTCCTCAGCCGGCCACTCAGAGTGATTAATTTACACATCTCATTTCATCACTGTTATGCAGAATCCATTGGTTAGGATGGTTTGTTTGGGGACAAGGCATGAAATGAAATTGCCTCTCAGTGACAGGAATGGCCTGAGCCTGCTTCCTTTTTGATTTTTTTTTTTAAACTGATGGATGGTGCAGCATGTCTACATGGTTGTTTGTTGCTAAACTTTATATAATGTGTGATTTCAGATTCAGCTTGAAAAATAATCTCACTACATGTAGCAGTACATTATATGTACATTATATGTAATGTTAGTATTTCTGCTTTGAATCCTTGATATTGCAATGAAATTCCTACTTTATTAAATGTATTTGATATGCTAGTTATTGTGTGCGATTTAAACTTGCTTTCCCCGTTTTTCTGGTTGTGCTCTTCCTTTTACAAACCTCTAGAAACAGGTAGTTTCTGAGAATTACTGATCTATGTTTGTATTGCAGATGTACTTAGGGGATATGTAAAATAATCATTTTAACAAAAGAAATATAGATATTTAAAATTTAATACTAACTATGGGAAAAGGGTCCATTGTGTAAAACATAGTTTATCTTTGGATTCAATGTTTGTCTTTGGTTTTACAAAGTAGCTTGTATTTTCAGTATTTTCTACATAATATGGTAAAATGTAGAGCAATTACAATGCATCAAATAAAATGGGTTAATTTTCTGATCCATATGACTGTGACTCATCTTGGGAAGAGGGTGAATGGGGCGGGGCATCAAGGAATGATCCATTTCGGGATGGCAGCATTCTTCCCTGTGGATCCAAAGAAGAGCACTACTGACGAGCTCTAGATGTGCATCTCTGTGAGGAGCACTTGCAACTAATGGGGCTCCCAAAGCCCTCTTGGGCCCATCTGGACTAGGACCTAGAAGCAGGCCTGGCAGCAGCAGGCTAATTAAGCTTTATTTTCCCACTGTTGTCAATAAACATCCACTGCAGCAGAAGAAAGAGGAATTACCCCAGGAAGATGCTTCTCCCCCGCACTGGTTGCTGCATTCTGGAGGCTTCGGCCTTGCATGGGAGAAGTGGCACCTCCACTGGCGCTCTCTAGTTTCCAAGCTGAACCCCATTTCTCCAATGACGTGCATGGATGTCTGAGCCATGGAGAATTTGCCAAGGAGATAGAGTTTCCAGAGCATGTTACTGCTGCTCCTAAACATAAGCTCCATCTGTCTGACCTTTTCAGATGAATGTGTCTTGGACACAAGTGTGCACTGGAATTTTTATACTCTGGGGCTTCTGGAGTTGGGCTATAGAAACAGTGAGTGTTTATTAGGCACCTAATATGTTTTAGGCTCTGCTAAGTGCTGAGGATAGAAAGACAAAAGACATTCTCCTCTCAAGGAGCTCATGGTCTAATGGATGAGACAACACAAAGCAACAATATACAAATACAGGATAAATTGGAGACTGTGATGGGAAAGCACTAGAACTTAGGGGGATTCGGAAAGGCATCTTGTAGAAAGTGGGATTTTTAGCTGGGATTTGCAGGAGGCAAGAGAAACCAGGAGGCTGACATGAGGAGGGTCATTGCAGGCATGGAGGAGGGTCAGAGAAAATGTCTTTTAGGAAGAGCAAGGAGGTCAGCCATCACTGGGTCACAAATTATGTGGTGGGCCTGGGGAGTAAGAAGACCAGAAAGGAGGCCAGGTTGCAAAGGGCTTTGAAAAACTGGATTTTCTATTTGATCCTGGAGGTGATAGGGAGTGGCTGGAGTTAATTGAATGGGGAGGGTGGGTGACCAGGTCAGATCTGAGTGCAATGAGGAGAGACTTGGGAGAGAGCCAACCAGAAACCCAGGGTGAGGTGATACATCAGGGTAGTGATGAGGTCAGAAGAGAAAGGAGAGAAGCTACGAAGGCTGAAATAAGTAGGCCTTGGCAACACCTGGGCATGGGGCATGAGAAAGACTGAGGAAGTTGAAGATGACACCTAGGTTGTGACCTTGGGCAACTGAGAGGATGGTGGTGCCCCTGACAATGATGGGGAAGTTTGGAAGCGGAGAGGGTTTGGGGGGAAAGACATGGAATTCAGTCTTGGACATGTTGAGTTCAAGACAGTTTGAGATCTAATAGGCAGTTGGAAGTTCGAGGTTAGGGCTGGGTAAGTAGATCTAAGAATCATCAGCATAGAGATGATAATTGAAACCGTGGAAACTGATGAGACCTCCAAGCACAGTATTACAGAGGGAGAAGAAAAGAAGGCTTAGGTGGAGCTCTGTGTGCCTGGTGCCGGGCATGATGTGGATAGGAGATCCAACAAAGGAAACAGAAGGAGAGGTCAGATGGGTAGGAAAACCAGGATAGAAGAGTGTTATAGAAACCTAGAGAGAAGAGGGTATCAAGGAGGAGAGAGAGCTTAACAATGGCAGAGGCCACAGAGAGATCAAAAAGGATGAAAATTGGAAAAGGGCCATTAGATTTGGTTATCATTGGTACCTTTGGAGAGAGCTGTTATAGGCAAATGATGAGGTTGGAAGCCTGACAGCACAAGGAGGCAGTGCAGTGGTGTGGAAGAAAAGCATTCTATTTGGAGTCAGGACCTAGGTTCAAATCTCAGCTCTGCTTATAGGACTTTGGACAGGTCACTTTTTTTCCCCATATCTATAAACTGAATGAATAGGACTTCATGATTTAAGGTCCCTTTCAGCTTTAAATTCTATGATTCTAACTCCTGAATTGATTGAATTGATTCCTCTGGACCTGAAAGTACCCAAGGTAGATTATAACTATGTTAAATCCTTGATTATCTGATTATCTTAGGCAAGTAATTAGATAATCCTAGGCAAATCCAAAAATAACTAACTCCGATTTGGGGTGCCTGTCTATGAGAGGGGGTGGGTGGGGTGAGGACAGGGAGATTTGGGTGGGTACAAGATGTGAAATAACAGATATTGTCAAAGACAATGTACCTACAGACAGAAGGTGGGCAAGTTGTGAACAAAGGATGGTAACAGATGGACAACCTGAGTGCTACACTGATGCCTACCCGGAATTTTTAAATAATTTTTTTAAAAAAAGCTTGAACCCTCCATCACTTTGGGTAGAATATCTTTGGAAGGTTTATTGAAAGAATGAGGCACAAAGGATGGAGATCCTATGACCTTAACTGGAAGGAACCAATTCCCGAATTTTACAGTTTGGGAATTTGTGAGAATACTGAGAAGTAGTATGTGTCAGAGCCAAGAATTTGTAAGATGATTTGTGATCTGACCCATTGGCGGCAGTACTCGCAACCAATGAGATCATGAATCTGCTGTTTATGTTCATCTACCATGTTTGCACATATATCTACATATACATCAATATATCAAATATGTGTGATTTTGTTAGTGTGGGAACTCAGCCCACACAGGTACAAATCTGAACTTTGAGTCTTGGGCCGTTTCCTGAGGCCAAGTGATTAAGTGACAACTTGACTAGGTCCACATAGCCATTGGAGAATCAGGAGTGGGATGTGATCCCAGGCCTTCCTGATTTCAAGTTAATCAGCCAATCAATAAACATTTTTTAATCACCTACCATATGTCAGGAACTGTGCTAAGCCCTGGGGATATAAAGAAAGACAACAGACAGTCCTTGCCCTCAAGAAGCTTACAGTCTAATGGGAGATAAAATCACGTCCAGCATTCAGTCCACTATGTTTTGGTGCAGTACCTGTGATTTCATTGGTGTAGAGAACTCCCAGGGAGAAACTATACCAAAGCGGATTCACGGTTCTTCTGTAGCTTAAAGCCTTAGATTCTCCTATGGCCATAAGAGACTTGTCCAGCAAAGAGAAGCCGATATGGTGTCCAAGGGGACACATACTGAAACCAGGTGGTCCTGCCTCACAGGCCAGCCCCTTTTTTCAAGCTCCTCTATCCCTATGAATATATACCTCCCCCCTTTCTTTTCTAATTATGCTTTGCTTAGATAAATATTAAAATTAATTTGAATTCCTTGAAGACATACCCTGGTGAAAGGGAAAAATGGTATTTTTAAAGCCCTTGGGGAAAGGGTACAGGGAATCAAGAAATGCCCACTTTGGAGAGAGAAGAATCATACTTTGTGAATCAGAAGAGCACTATAGCCTGGTAATTGGGAAAGCCCTCTTTAGGGCTGCCCTTCTCTCTCATGTGGAATTGTACTAACTTTCTAGTGACTTGGTTTCACCTCTAGGTATTTATGGGGTTCCTCCTTGGGCTTCCCAAGTAATCTTCCTATTAAACAGCCTATCAAATACTTGAAAACAGTCAGCTATGTTCTCCCACCCTTTGCCCAGAAGAAAGGGGAAGGGACCAAGCATTTTTATTTTTTCCAAGCATTTATTAAGTGCCTACTATGTGCCAAATCAGGGGAAGCAGGTTGTTAAGATCCCAGAAAACAGCTGGGTGGTGCCATGGTGCACAGAGTGCTGGGTGGAGGGAGGGTGAGTACCTTGGAATCAGGAAGAACATGAGTTCAAATCCCATCTCAGACACTTATTAGCTGTGTGACTGGGCAAGTCACTTACCTCTATCTGCCTCAGTTTCTTCACCTGTAAAATGGGGATAATAGCTTCTACTTCCCAGGGTTGTTGAGAGGATCAAATGAGATAATAATTGTAAAGTACTTAGCACATAGGAGGCACTTAATAAATAAATGCCTGGTTCCTTTCCCTTTCACCTGGGCAAGGGGTGGCATATATGATAATTGTCTTCAAGTACTTACGGGATTGTTAGGTAGAAAGGGAAATTAGGCTATTCTTCTTGGTCCCCAAGGACAGGACCAGGACCGTGAACAAGGGTCACACAACTAGTGTCTAAGGTGGTTGGACGTGTTTTCCTGCTTCTGGGTCCAGCACTCTATCCACTGTACCAGCTAGCTGCCTAAAATGTCTATATCTTTTAGAAGTATGCAATATCCATTTATATATATTTACAATATATCTATCTCCATAGCCATCTACGTAGAGCTTTGAAAGTTACATTGAAACTAGTGTAGATGAAGGAACTGTCTGGTTATAGAAGGGTATTCTCTTCAGCCACTGGCATGGTATTATGGAAATAACACCGGCTTGGTTATAGGACCAGGATTCAAATCCTTCTTCTGACACTTAAATGGCCTGTCATCTTGGACAAGTTCAATAATTTAATAAACACTAAGTGCCTACTATGTGCCAGGCACTATGTTAAGTGCTGGGGATACAAAAAAGAGGGCAGTGTCTGCTCTCAAGGAGCTCACCATACCTTACTTTACCTCTCTGGGACTCAGTTTCCATATCAGTGAAATGAGGGAATTAGATAGCCTCAGTATTCTTTTCTAGTTCCATGGTTCTATGATTGTATGCTCTTTGGGGTCCCCTCTATGATTCTATTTCCCAATCAGCCAAGTGTGGGAGCAAGACTAGGTATTTGGCACAAGGTGGCGCCAATGAGCTGCAGAAGACAAGTCTGGAACGAACCTGTCTACCACCCTCCCCCCATCTTCCTCCCCGTCAACCAACCAGTTTTGTCCCTTCTCCTCCCCCACCCATAGCTCCGCCAGCCTACTCTTCTGAGCTGGGCCAAGAAACCCTCCCTCCTATTGTAGGGAGAAGGAGCAGGATTGAAGGGGAGTCAGAATTTCTTAAAGGAATCAGTTTTCGAACCACAAGTTCAAACCACAGGGATAGGGCTTTGCAGGATTTTCCCAGGGACCTAAACATA